ATTGCAAAAGGCACTGTCTAGACAATCATGTCATTTTTGTCCTTGAGTGAGAACCATATATTATCCGCTGTATTACACACCAATTCACTTATTAAACTGACATCAGTTACACCATATTTTGTAAAGGATAAAACCAAGTGTTATATGCTTGTGTAGAACTCATAAACGAGATGCTTTACATTAAAATAACAAGTTGAAGATTTTTGTTTCTGCTTGATTCACACCTGAATACAGGTCAGTAGACATTACATTACAGTGAGTCGTTAACAAATTAGCACTGAGGTTTGTGGAGGAGAAGGTGGCGATCAGTCTTCTTATGTGCAGGATCATGTCTGTCGACTGCCCAAAGCTTTCAGACTGCCAGTCTTAAACTTAAAATATTAAAACGTGTTTCAGGACCTACCTTTTCACTTACGTATTTGATGTACAGCATAATTTAATTCTACTCTCGGCTTCACAAAATCAAATTTCTGATTTTTTGTTTAAACTTCTGTTGTGTGTACTATTGTGCGCTTGTGTAAAATTGTACAGTACTCTGAGTTTCCTGAAATGGACTGATAAATACAACTGTTCTAATGTAACTACAGGATGGCAAGATACGTTTCTTCAGAAACATTTTCTTCACTGTTTTTTATGTCCTCAACAACTTTGCTCATTTAGTTGTTCGTGTAGAACAGTGGACCCCTTAATCTGCCATATACCTTCATACATGCAAGTACTTTTCAGAGCAGATTAATTCAGTTTCAAATGAATGCAGCTATTTGCTTCCTTGCAGTCCTGAGGCCCTGGGTTCAGTTCTTGGGGTATTATCTGCATGGAGTTTGAATGTTCTGCCACTTGGTCACTTGAAAATGTGAAATCACGGAGTTCCACATAAAGTATTTTTTTAATAAAATGTAAATGTATGCATATAATTACTCATAAAAAACATATTGTACTTACCATTCATATTAATATTATACCATTCTCAAGATCACAAATACAAATGTCTTGACTTTGAGGCATAAATGACAGTTTTGATTTTGACTTTTCAAAGTGTTGTATACTCTTTGTTTTGGTAAACTGGGTTTGAAACAGGAGTCTTGTAGGGTGGTGTACTGTGATTTTTGTACAGGGTACAGGTACTTTTTTATTTATAGTGCAAGATAAATAATCCAAATCACCATAAACCACAAAAGCCTCAGCTCTACTTTGAGGTAGATGTGACAGATACTGTACTTGGCTTATCAGGGCAGTGCCTGGAGTCTGGATGCACTAAACCCACAATGAAAAACCAAAAGTATAACCAAGGAGACATTATTTTAATTGTATTTCAGGTAGAAAAATCAGAAAACACAAGGGTGGTATTTTAATAAGACACTCAACACCACCATCACTGTACACATCCTTTTTATACCACCCAGGACTAAACAGTCAAGCCCAGCTGATCTTCAACTGTAGAGGTGTTGCTGTCGGGAGAATAATCAGGACAGCAGCAGTTTACTTAACCAGTAATCTGTGCCTCTTCTTCTCTCTCGCCCTGGGGAGGAAGCACGTATTTCTTTACACATGGGGGTATGCCGTACCATGGGGCTTCCCATGATGCAATGAGGGCCCATCCTCCTCTCAGTCTCAGGATGAAACAGATCAGGAACATCTTGTCTTCATCCTAGAATGTAAAGGTTACTGTATATGTTATTTTGCAAGTGCGTCTGTCTTATCTTCCTCCCTTTTCCTGTATCTGTATGTATCAGTGGTCAACAGCACCTGGAGGGATCTCTCCTCTCAAGGATCTAAGCTCCCACACACCAGTTTCTTTACCTGTACCCAACCTCCTACTCTCTCACTCCAACTGACGTGGTGAGATTGTGCACTTGTTCTGATTGTGCATGGCTTGGCACCTCAGTACTTGTCTGAGCTATTATTGTCCTATTCCCCACCTTGCAAGCTCCATTCTTCTAATTCTGGATCTGTTCCCCAAGCCCATCTATGCTCTATGGGTGACAGAGCCTTCTCCTGTTATGCCCCAGAGCTCTGGAACTCTATCCCTAAGGATATCAGAGAGTCACCATCCCTATAATGTTTCAAATCTCGACTCAAAACAGAAGGGCTTTTACTTAACTGGTTCTGTTATTAATCCCTTTGCTCCTACTGGATTCAGTACCCCCATCTACTGTCTCCTCTCATTGTGTATTTTCATTGTGTATATCTTGTGTATTTGTTTTTCTTGTTGTCATTCTGTAAAGTGCTTTGAGAAGCCACCTTTAAAGGTGCTATATAAAATAAAGTTTATTATTATTCATATTCTGGTTGAGTTTTACCTTGATTGCCACTCCTTCCTCTGGCAGCAAGGCTGCTTTTGATGAGCTGCTGGATACTTTTGGAGTGTTTAATCTCCCATGCGTGGTGGGGAGGCCCTCCTCTCGCAAATTGGGCAATAATCACGCGCAACACCAAAAGCATATCTCCCATCAGCTTAAATGCTGACTCGCTTCCCAGGAGCCTCCTCTGGGGCTCTTTGAGGGCCATGAACTCTGCCACCTGTGCTCCAGCCCCACTGAGAGCTCTTCATCTCATCACCTTGAGTAACCCTGTCTGTTGCTCTCCTTCCACATAATAACTTGACCCGACTACCTCTGGCTCCAGCTTCGGATCTCTCAGTGGCAAGGGGCTGAGGAGGCCTGCTTGTCTAACCTTGCCACGCACTCATGCGGTTCTCCTGTCTCCAGAATAAAACAGGTACTCAGATCCTCAATACCCCTCGATCTAGCAGCCATGCTTCCCATTTTGCTCCTCTCGTGTCTGAGATAGACTTGATTGCTTTGTTACTTAGTTACTTCAAAAGGGACTTTGCTTCTGTCTTGGATTACCCGTTTGGATTTTCTCTTGGATTGTTCGCCCGGGTTTACTTTCCCTGGACACCTGCACCCCTTGGACACGACCCCTGTCTCCATGCCCTCTCCTGCATGACTTTTTCCCCAGTGTTACCTCACAATTCCGGATCGTGTTGTCTGCATAGGGCCTGGAAAGAACTGTTCGCGACACTTTTACCCCTTAAAGTACTTTGAAAAGATGCTTTTAAAGGTGTTTTATAAATGACGTTTATTAATATTATTATTTTGTTAGTACTGTACTTTCCATCCATCTCCACTTTGTCACTCATGTTCAAAAAGCTCAAAAGCTCTACCTTGTCACTCCTGGAGCATCCTGTTTCTGACATCAGCTGATGACAGAGTGAAGCTGAACAGCTTTAATTCAGCACCAGGAGACCATCCTCTCACTGAATTACTGTATATGTAAAGAGAGTGCTCTGCAAAACAAAGAATTAAAGGGGTTTATGGGGACACGTTTGCAGGAGTGTGAGGAAAGTTATTTCTTTAGGACTGGCAGAGCTTTGATACTCAGACATTATTCTTTTTTGCAACATACAAAGAGTTGGAGATGTATGTAAAATAAATTTAATAAGGGGGACTTGAGAGTGAAACTAGAATAAACTGCCCAAAACAACAGGTCCCCAAGTCCTCCATGAACTCTGCTTCTGCCCAAAGCATTCCAAGTGCCGTTACTTAGCAACCTACAGTAGATAGTGGCCCACTACTTCAGCATTTATTTCTCCAGAGTGCCACGAGCAGTTTCACTCACAGCCTCCTCTCCCTCTCACAAGCCTGTCTTTCCCTTTAAATCTCCATAGACCTGTCTCTCCCTCAGTGCCTGTCAATTGGAGCCTCACAAACCCTCTCCAACCACATGTTAAACCCTTTCAAAGTAATTTAGTTTGTTGTTAGAACATCAATTACTGTATGAATTTATTTTTAATGTGCCATTTTTATTCTAAAGAATATTGATGCACATATGCAGTGACACAGCTACAACAGCTTGTGTCTAATTACAAACTGTAACTAACTCGGATAAATGCAGCACCAAAAATAATGATTCTGCAATTACTAATTGTAATTTGCAAGCATCTTTAAAAGTTCCAAGCCTGTTAAATGCTAGGTTATTTGACACGCATCAGTTGGCTGTAATCAAAAGTTGTGTGGAATTTCAAGATTATTTACTGTAGCTGATTATTAATGTACTGTAACACTTTTTCCCCTTCTGTGTGGGACAATATCTTCTTATCATCAGTTTGTTCTAGACTCCCTCAGCTTGGCACAAAAATGTGCCTCATTTTCTCAGTTTCACTTCCCCTTAGTTTTCATCTGAGTTTGTCTTTCACTGTTAATTTTGAAGACTCTTATTGAGCTGAAAGGATTTTGAACACTTGAATTAGGTCTCAACAAAAATCTTCCCAATCAAGGCTAAAAAGATTAATCTCTTTTAGCCTGTCAGACAATAAAGTTACTTTAAGCTCAACAATGTACTGTACATAATTGTTCTTTGCTGGACTAATAAAACAGCTGCAGTATCTTTTATGTTAAGAAGTCACCAAAATTGTACCCAATATTCTTAATGAGTTCTTACAAGTCTGTAGTACAATTTAAACATAGCATTTTTTAATTTAAATGTTATGCTTAACTATATATTTCCTTTTTATTGCTTCCTCACATTACCCAGAAGGTGTAGTTAATGTCAACATAAACACTATTTTTCATAAGCTGGGTCTTCAAACTCAGTGCTTCCAGTTTTATATTTACAGTTTTGGTGCTTGCTACCCTATGTACCAGCATGTAATACTTTGCATTTGTCTACATTACACATAATCTGCTAGGTGATTGTCCAGTCTTGAATTTGATCTAAATTCTTCTACAGTGCTTGCTTTACCACCCTAATGATATCAACTGAAACCTGACCTCAATGTCTACTAATTTGATCAGAATCTACAATTCCAAAAATATTTAGCTTTAAGATTTCAAATTTTAACTTTACAATATGCCTCGGTGCTAATTTCTGCAGATCAACGGGGGGCATTTGATGTTTCATTTTTTCAGAAAGTTATTTTAAGTAAAAAAAGACTGAGAGATAAACAATAACAAGGTCCCTTGAGGGACAAAGAGCAAGCAGAGGGATGGCGAAGTACAAGGTAGTGTTTATGTGCGGTTAACTCCACTCCCATCCAGGTAATAAAATGAATGACTCAGTCCCTCCAGCACTCAAGAGCACTGCGACTCACAGCGAGTTTAGAAAAGTAGCAGCTCACAGAACCATCTCACGTTATTGCCTTCTTCATTCTTTTTCCTCCCAAGTATAGAAGATGGGGAGAAAAGGATACAATTTCAAGATGTTTCTCAAGAAAAACTGGCTTCTGCTCAGCACAGTGACGGCAGTGATGTTGGGTAAGTCTTTTTGTCCAACTTGTTTTTTTTAGCCAAGAAAAAATACAATATTTCTTGACCTATTTAATGGTTTAGACCTGAACATTTGTTCCTGTTATGAAAAGTAAACAATACGATTTTAAAACATTTCCCAAGCTAAAAAACATGGTGAGGCATATTCTAAATGCTGAGATTTGGATGCTGTGTTTAAATGTCAGGAATTTGCATAGTAAAATATGTGAGCAAAACAATTGTAGATAATTGGAGCTTGCTTCATTTAATATTCAGTTTTTCTGGGCAAGGTAGGCTGCTCTTGGGCTACACATTAAAATAAAGTCAGAAATACTGACCCGCAGAACAAGGCTTTCGTAATTTTGTACCATGGATGTGATGTATTATATACACCATCAGACATGTACTTTTGCTTTCACAGAAACTGTCCAACAGTTAAGACCAGCAATTTGTTTGTAAAAGTGTAAAAGAGAACACTAGCTGATTGTTTAAATAAATTAGAACTAGAGTTTGACAGTGAAGATGACTGATGTTGAGTTCCAAACCTTTTGCAGAGCACTTGGAGATCACAGGAGATTTTAGATCTGCTCTTGTCCTCCTATGTGATAAAGAGACACTTCCTAGGGTGATACCCTTTTAGGGAAGACTCTATTCTCTTGTTGGAGATGTGTAGGAATTTCAAAGCATTTAACTGAAATACAGAGTACTGCTGCTATTTACTATTTCACAAAACACGTCAATTTTAATCTCACTCATGGTTTTGTCATTTAAACAGTGATGTTTGACGGTTAAAAAATGGCACTGTCACACATGGCTGACTGTTGTAATATTACTGTATATCTGAGAGACCAAACAACTACACTATAAAGACAAAGTATGCTACAAGTTCAGTATGCTAGAATCAAAAAATAAAATACATCTCATTGATAGAATGATAGACTCTCAAGGAGAGGTATATTCTGGGCTTGTCCAGATAAGATGATCATTTGGGCAGGTGACTTAGGATTTACTCTTGTTCCTTTTGCAGGTATTGGATTGGGTGTCTTGGTGCGAGAATATGCTTCTTTCTCTCACCTGGATATTTACTACTTTGGGTTCCCTGGAGAGATCTTGATGCGAATGCTCAAATTAATCATCTTACCGCTCATTGCTTCCAGCGTCATATCAGGTATAAATATCACAGCACCCATAAACATGCCTCTGATTAGCCTTCCAGGCAAAGGAAGAGGGCACCTGGCAGCTTGTGTGTCACTGCTGTCTGTTCAGTTTAGACTTTGAAACGAGTGGGGGTTAATTCTATGCTGAAGAGTGAAAAGAATTAATGCTTCACTAGAAATGACAATAACCAAGTACTGAGTGTTTTAGTCACAATAAAATTTAACCTAAACTGCCTGGCAGAGGGCTAAACTCCTGACCACAGGGGGAGGAGGCTACTGTAGGTCCCAAGCAGAGTGCGGAGTGACTAAAGAGTACAGTATCTCTAAAGAGATAGGGTAGAAGCAGAATGCAAAAGACGTATGTGAGGGAGTGAGGGGATTAAGTGTAATATATATAATTGTAGGTGAGGAAATGACATAAGGAGTGATTACTGTTTACAGACAGCTGCGGCTGATTGATCTTGGTTATTGTCATCCCCCCACACTTTCATTATAAATACAATAATGGCTTGACTGTAGAGCTTCTTACCGGTGTATAAAATATAAAAGCTCTACTGCTTCTTTCGAGCGTCCTGCTGATGCAGCTCCCCACTCTACCCAGCTGTTGTTCAGCTAAATCGTAGTGCAATGTCAAAATAAAATGAGCGGCTGTGCCAATAATCTGTTACTCATATACTGTACTGGATGCTGCTCTTTAGTGGTGGATGAAGTGGATCTTATCTGGAAAATGCTTTGGGTCATTTAAAACCATTGCATTTTTATATATAACAGTTTAGATATCTAGTATATGTTAAATATCACCATTTCTGGTGATTTTGCAAGTATATATTAGAGTTAAATGAATCAAAATATTTTAGTACTTAATAACTGCAATATCACCTAAGACAGCAGAACTATTTCATTAAAAATTGAAAAATTCATGATTGAGTAACTTGTGTAGAGTCCAAATCACTTAATCCTGATTACCTAAGAGAACTATGCTAATTCTTTCAAAGAGAATTGAAATCAGCCGGTTTTTGGATCTGTAAGACCTTGAAAAAATAACTGATTGAAATTTACAACTGAGTAAAGAGCAGAAGATCAGAGAGGTATGGACAGTATTTAAGTGAAAGCATCAGAAAATCCATTAAATGAAAAATGAAATACATTGAATGCTGCAAAACAGTGTGAAAATGTGAGTATAAGCCATCGGGACACCTGCTGAAAACAACAAAGTAGCACAAAAAATAATTATTGCAAGATGATGTGTTTTCTGGCACAAAAGAAGCAATGTAGGATGACCAGCCAAAACTGATTGTGAAGGAGGATGAGGAATTTGACACAAAGCCATGCAAGGGTAGGTGTACAAGGAAAGAGGATGCACAAAAATTACAAATATAATTTATGTTAAAGCATGAAAAAGTTATATTTTATAATGAAGTCTCTCAACTGAAATTTAAAAAAGCAACTGAATATAAAAATAAACTGAAATTGGAAACACTATCTGCTTGCTGTCATCTCCAACTTTATCACCAAAAGGCTTTAAAGAAAATCGTGCGTCTCTCTGAGCACAAGAAGAGAACAAGACTATCGCACAGGTAAGGGTGAGGAAACAATGAGAAATGGCAGGAATCCTATGACCAAACCACTCATCAGAGCTGCATACAGTAGCTCCACTACAGTCTATGTGGCCACTTACAATGAGTGGGTCGTCACTCATTGACACCACTACAAGCTGGCTGAAGAGTTCAAGCAGGTATCTGCGTCAGCATGCGTAGGCTGCAAAGGAACAAGTAAAGGTTTATTCCATGCTGAAAACAGAGGAAAAGAAACATAACGTATCACCTGTGGAGCCTGCTTCGGATGACACCCGAACGCAGTGTTTCTTTTCTTCTTCAGCATGGAATAAACCTTTACTTGTTCCATCACGACAAGCCAGCAGGTACTCCAGAAGTGTGGCTCAAAACTGACCTGGGCCAGGGTGATGATTCTCAGTCTTGTCCCTATTAGTTGTCTTCCAAGTCCAAAGTCTCCTGCTGACATGACCCATCTCAAATAAGCGTCCAAATTGAAGAGCACAACCTGTGTTTGGTACTATGACCTGGTGCCTTTACTAAGTGATCCACTCTTGCTTTTCAAAATCCCCACATTCTGGGGAGACAGAGAAAGAAAGTTATTGCATGCACATATGATTGCATTTAAAAGTTATTGCATACCCAAATTATTGCATTAAAACTGGCATACATGGAAAGTGTATGGAATAATTCTTTGAATGAACAGAACTTTGAAAACTTGTTTTATAGACCAGGTCTTTGTGTGGAAAAATTATGTGAAAATATGGATTTTTTTTTTCTGCTTTGCATTTGAAAAAAACACATTTTTATATATAAATAAGACTGCCTAGTTCACAAGTTAATAAAGTCTCTTGTCCACAATGAAGTGAAAAATCTACAGTATGTGCAAAATGAACGCCGATGGAATAAGTTATCTGCATATGTCATTTTCAGACTCTTGTATAATTTTAGTGCTGTTACAGTCATTAAAGGGCAATTGTGTAAGCCAATCGGCCTTTTCTCTGGATATTGACAACACCCTTGTTATTTCTGCAGGTGTGGCATCTCTGGATGTAGGGCTTTCCACCAAAATTGGTTTACGTGCTATCACATATTACTTATCTACAACAATTCTCGCTGTCATCCTGGGTAGGATTTTTACATTATTTCCCTCCACTCTTGCCTAGCATCCAGGTTTTTCTCTGGCCTCAGGTTCCTGTAGAGTCCCCATGTTATCCTGATGATCCCATTTATCTGGATCTTGGGAAGAATCATAGTCAGGATGTCACCAGATTTGTCTGTGTTACATGAATACTAACTCAGTATTAGGTCCTTAGCACACTTGTGATTTTCTAAAATGGCTACTAAATTATTTAGCTGATTTCAGAATTAGACAACTACAGTAGTTCGTTTAATATTGCAACAAATATACAGATACCAAAATGTTTGATTATTTAAATACATGCAATTAAAAGGGGATTCAAACACATTTATAGAGTTGTAGCTATGCTGTATTGAAATAACATCAAAATATAATATTATACTAAACTGAAGAGACTCCTTTAGTCTTTTCAGTCTTCAGTCTTTTCAGTGTAATGAAAAGTTTAAGATAAATTACTTTAACAAAGTAGTGCATTGAATTTAATGAATATTCACTTGGTTTGGTTTTGAATTTACAGTTTTCTAGCTTCAGGCCTACATATCTTTGTAAAACTGTAAGAAACTTGGAAATATGATATCTTTAAGTAATGTTAAAGTATTTAATTGTTTATTTCAATGTAATACATTAATGTAATTAGAATTGTTAATTTACGAAATTAACAAAAAAGCTATTAAGAAAGAATATCAATTTTTCCATCCATCCATTTTCCAATTGCTTCTCCCAATTCACAGGAGAGCCGAAGCCTATCTTGGCAAGCAATGGACAAAAGGCAGGGTACACACTGGACAGGACACCTGTCCATTGCAGGCCAGACACAGACATAAACACAGGCACAAACACATACAGGGCCAATTTTCCCAGAAGCCAATTAACCTACCAGTATGTTTTAGGACTGTAGAGGAAACCAGAGCACCCAGAGGGTGAATGCCTAGGCTATCACAGGGATAACATACAAACTCCACACAGATAGCACCCCAGATCCTGAATTGAACTCAGGGACCCAGCAAGGCAGCTACTGTATGCTAACTGCTGTACCAACTTGCCACAAGAAAGAAAATAAATTATTAAAATGTATCACTAAGGGGTATATTGCTAAACATACTGTACAGTATATTGCATTTAATGTTATTACTGCATTTACACAATAAATATTCAGTTACAATAATGGTATAGATATAAGCACTGTACTGTATTTCTCATTTGTTGAAATTAATTGGTATTTAATTTCAAGCAAAGTTGTTGGGCTTTCCATCATTTCAACATTGCCAAGCAAATATTGGAAATATCGACAGATATAAACAACTTAGATAATGAAGTACCTGTGAAATGTCTTAGGGTCTTCCAAGCTCAGAATAAACAGCATTACAGTACTGTATGTATTTCAAACTGAGATATGTTTTGACAGTTTCACATACTTTACAGGAATTGTGCTGGTGATGACAATTAAGCCTGGAGTTTCTCAAAAGTCAGAGGACAATGACAACAAATCTGTTCATGAGATCACTACATTGGATGCAATATTGGACCTTCTCAGGTAAGAATCCTTTTGTTGCAGCTTATTCTCTCCTTAATGAATGCAGAATAAATAATGCATGACATTTCCAAATAATTTCATGTTATTAAGACAAAACTGTACAATCTGCTCTTATCCACAGGAATATGTTTCCAGAAAATCTTATTCAGACTTGTTTTCAACAGGTAAGGCACTTTCTAATGCCTCATTTGCTATTTTTGCTGTAATTTAACAATAAGTATCAAAACTTCCTTCAAAAATTCCAAAAACTCTTGAAACAGCTTTTGGTTTAAAATGTTACACATCAACCTAAAATATCTGCACAAACTGATGTCACAGCATTTTATAAAGTTGTGTATATACAGTAACCTTTCCACCTCTTTGCTGTGTGCTGCAAGACCATTTATTTTAATATAACAGCTTTACCATATTTAACCACTGTGAAATTCAAGTAAAGCAAAGGAAAGCGCCAAACACTGTGCTAGGTGACAGATGCTGAGCTCCTGATATCTAAATTTTTAGCTTTGTTATTTCAGTACAAGACACACCGCAAAGAACTTGAAAAGCCTCCAGATAAACCTGAGCAAAACACCACCCCTGGTTCTCCAGTGACCGCTGTCATGACAACTGCTGTGCGAGAGGTAAAGTCTTTCAAGGCCTCTGGAGACATCTAGAGCACCCAAGTGTCCTTCAAACACAGAGCAGTGTTAGAAAAACAGATGCTGCATGTTATGGATGTGACTTGCTTACTCCACCATCATGGGAAAATGAGCTATATTCACTTGATGTCCTGTCATTCTTCTACCTATTCATTCACGTTCACATTGAGGGAACCTAACACAGCATGATAATACAAATGTCTTGTGGTTTGTCAAAATCTCATGAAAGACGTTTCTTACTGATGTGTCTCCATGTAGAAAGGCTGCTGGATTTGTGGTTTTTATTCCTTCATTTAGCTGAAAATTAATGTCCAAAGTGAAACATAAACCAATGTTTACCCTAAGCAAAATGCCAAATGTAATAAAGAAGACAATAGTAAGTCTGTGGTGCCTTGTTTTCGGTTTTTCGACTTTTCAGAACATGACCGAGGACTACACAATAGTGGGACAGTACTCCAATGGAATTAATGTCTTGGGTCTCATTGTCTTCTGCCTGGTCTTTGGGAGCATCATTGGTCAAATGGGAGAGAGAGGACGAATTCTGCGTGAACTTTTCGAAGCAATAAATGAAGCAACTATGAAAATAGTTAAAATCATTATGTGGTATGAGATTTTGAATATTTGTCATTTTTGGCATCTAAAGGAAAGTAGACAAACCTAATAGATTCCTCTGGAGCTTTACTTTCGATACTGAGTCCTGGGTGAGCTTTACATAAAATACTTTCCCTTTATGAATTTTATATTCTATTCCATTAAAATCCATAATTGCTTTTGTTCCTGTATTTGCAGCTACATGCCTTTTGGAATCATGTTCTTAATTGCTGGCAAGATCATTGAAGTTGATGACTGGGATATTTTCCGAAAGCTTGGACTCTACATGGTGACTGTGCTTTGTGGGTGAGCTACTGTTGTTTGTGCAGTAAATCTAAATGTTAAAAGGTCTGCTGACATAGGAATCCATTGAGATGGCATACCTGTAATTGTCTGCTGCAAGGTGCTGTTCAACCAACGAGCCAACAACCACCCACCCAACCTACCAATCACCCAACCTACAGGACCATCTATCTATCTATCTATCTATCTATCTATCTATCTATCTATCTATCTATCTATCTGTCTGTCTGTCTGTCTGTCTGTCTGTCTGTCTGTCTGTCTGTCTGTCTGTCTGTCTATCTATCTATCTATCTATCTATCTGTCTGTCTGTCTGTCTGTCTGTCTGTCTGTCTGTCTGTCTGGCTGTCTGTCTGTCTGGCTATCTCTCTCAAACAATTGTTGTCCATTCATGCAATGGGTTCCTGGTAAATTAATCAGAATGGATCACGAGCAGTTTCTGCAAAGTCCAGGTTTAAGTGTCTTCCATGGTCTTCATGGTGTTCCTTGAGAGAATGTGTTTTATTAGATCAGAATGACGCACAGATCAAGCAGCAGAGATTTAGAACTGTCAATGCGGTCAGGGGATGTACTGTAACTGAATCTGACATCACACAATTCAGCTCCTGTGTTTAAGTGATAGATAGTTGCTTAGAGGCTGGATGAGTTGGCACACTGAGGAAAAATCAAAACTGCGGCGTGGAAGCATTGCAGATCACATTATTATACAGTATTGAAATCCACGCTCCCCACACAAACACATTCATACAACACTGTAATTTTAAATAAATGTTTTGACATACCAGTGCTTGGCGTGGGTGGTTGCTGTGCCCTTTATTGCGTCAGATTTGAGCATTTCTGTCATGCTACTATTCAGACAACACGTTACTGGACAGTATAGCTGTTCTGATAGAATAAAAAAAATACAATTACATCTGTACTGTTACTTGATTTTACAGTTGACTGCAATGCAATTTTCAAATATGTTAAACAGAGCTACACAATGAGGTCTGACCTAAATACAAAGGGCTAAAAATGGGCTCAATTGTGAACACAAAATCCTTAACTTGTGTTGTTTGAAAACTGAAATTGGATTTAAGATCACTTTATTGGCCATATACAATTTCTTGTATTGGAAATTTGTCTTTTCACACACCCCAACTTGCTCTCTATGAGATACACAGACAGGGAGAAAAGCTTGGGGTCAGAACGCAGGGTCAGACATTTGTATACGGTGTCCCTGGAGCAGTTGGGGTTAAGGTTCTCGATCAGGTGCCCAAAGTAGGATTTGGATTCCTCTGCCGGCTGCAGGATACAATCCAGTAACCTTCCAGCCACAGGTGCAGATCCTTAGCCACAGAGCCACCACACCACCCCTTTCTAGCTGGGTCTGACAAAACTGGCATTGCGAGATATTTTGCTGGGCATTTGGAGAAGCAGAAGAAACCTTCATACAGTGTATGTGCTGTTACCTTGAGGAATATTAGAGCTGTATCATCTTAGATTCTGTCACAGCTGCACAAGCTCTTATCTTGTGACAGGGCTGTTGAAAGTAACAGATCATAACATGATGCTAAATACAGCTTAGCTTTTCAAAACAGGATCTTGGTTCACTTTTACCAAATATAGAACTCTTAATTTGCAGTTTATAAATGTGAATTATAATTGCCCTATCAAAGCATAGCTCTTCTCTGCTGTTTGCTAAATGCAGTCATATTTGATTTGTAGGTGCACTGATATTTTATTGAATGGATATGAAAAAGGTCAAATGATTATGCTGATTAGCTGATATGTCATCAACAAGATTGATCAGCAGGGTGCCTATAGTAAAAAGTAACCGGGTAGTAGTGTGTTTGGTCACCACTGGAAACAATACAAGCTGTACATGTGCGATGAATGATTTGATTCAGGATACAGACGTTCATGCTTGATCTTTCCCTTGATGGCTTGGCTGTACACAACAATTTATTGTAATATGATTCTTTGGATGCTCAGTATACAGTATCTGTCTGTCAAATATCATAATGAAATGGTTCAGTACGGTATGTATCTATTCGGTATTTGTCATTTTTCCATGACAATTGCTGTCTTTCATGGAACCTTATTTTTTTCATTCATCTTGGTTTTCCTGACACCATCAAGTGTATTTAACTACAAAGATTGCCTATTCCCCGTTTCTTAAAAGAAATCGTGAAGTAATTTTAAATAGGGGCTGAAATGATTAGTTTTCCTGTTAAGTGAATTTCATTCATTGAATGAGAGCAAATGCAGCTATACTCAACATTTCCTCTTTGTCATCTCCAGATTTGCTATTCACGGTATTGTGTGCCTCCCACTGTTGTATTTCATTATCGTGAGGAAAAACCCATTCACATTCATGCTGGGGATGGCCCAGGCTCTGGTGACTGCACTTATGATCTCCTCCAGGTAGGTAAATCATATCAAGCCACATCTCATAAGACCAGGGTCTGGATTGGTTCAACTTGAGTAAAGTACCTCATGCATGATCCAGGAGTTATGAGTCCGGAGAGTTACTGACTGCACTACACTACCGCAATCATTTATAACAAAAAAAACTTTCTATCTTAAGTCAGTACTAGAGGTAAGAAGTAAATAGTCAAAATAACTAATTTATTCATTGTAATAACTGTCTGTTTAACTTTAATTTATTTATTTCAAGATTTGTCTGTTAAACTTTAATTCATGTCTATGTTACGGTACATTTGTCTATGACACCTTTTCCAAGTTAATGGAGCACTCATTAGTCCAGACAAGTGGTTGTTCAGATGCCTTATGAAAGTAAACTAAATCAGGAAAGAGCTTATATTGGATTATGTTGCAGCTCAAGAAAATATTGTAAAATCGAGCTCAGTTGGTCTTTGGTTGATAATTGATCTGAGGGTCTTAATCAGCTGTTTCTTGAAAGAAAGTAATGATATGGACTACATGAACATGACTACATAGCTTGTTATAAACTCTCATAATCCTTTGTGGAAAGCTCTCTGTTTTAACTGCCCTTTCCTTCAGTTTATATTTGTGCCTTTGGTTTGTATTGTATGGTTAATTCTGAAACTACTGTGTTGACTTTGCCAAGGTCTTCTCTCTTCAAAATTAATTTATTTTTCTTTTTGTCTATCAAACTAGAACATTCCTTTTAGTCTGGGAAAGTTCGTGGTTGCTCTTCTTTGGACTAGCAATATATTTCTTGGCTTTCTTGTATCATGATGACCTGAACCTGCACACCTGAGTACAGTATATCCTAACATTAATTTACCATTTTATTGTTATTTTCTGTTTCTAGAAGATAAAAAATTGTCAACATAAACCTAATTATATTTCACAGGTAGCTTTTTGAAAGTTTAGTGTTTCTTAAATATGTGTTTTGTTCACTGCAAGAAACACTACACTACACAAGAAAATCTGACCAGTCCTTAATACTGTATAAATATTTCCGTACTCATTGCAGCTTCTATAGTTTTTGTTAATCCAACTATTTTGTATAATCTGTAAACTTGATTTGAAAGTCTTTTCTAGCTATGCCATTATCTAGAGCATTGATATCCATCACAGACAACAATGGTTCTAAAGCAGATTCTTGTGATACTGCACTCTTTACATCAAGAGTTTGAGCACTTGCCCCTTATCTATAAGCTTTTTTTAATTGTACACCATTTCCTATATGTTAACAAAGCAAATCGAAATGCATCAATTATCTTGAATGCCTGCTGCCTGCATTTGGAGAATTAATCTTTTTTATTATGAACTTTATTTAAAAACGTTTCTGAAAGTGTTATTGTAAAATATCATATTCTTTGTTCTATATATCTCTTATTCTTCTGATTTCTTGGTCCAAAAAACTCTAACAAGTTCATTAGAAATGTAACAGACAAGATCTCCCTTTTTAAATCCATGCTGACAATCCCAGAGAGTCTTACTGCCACACAGATAGTCCTCTAGTTTAGTTATAATTGTTGTGTACATAATTTTGCATTCAGTAGAAGTAAGATGTATTGGTCTACAAAAAGGTGCTGCATTAACAGTTTTACAGTTGGTGGGTACGGCCGTGTGCTGCCACGCATCACAGGTTTAAAGACCATATTTAAAGTGTATGTTTAACAGGTTTAATGTTCTTTTCCACACTCATCTAGTGAAATTCTTTCGCCATTTTGCTGATGAGAAAAAGATAATATTTTTCTCTACAGCTGCTTAAATGCTGTCACCTTGTCTACCTACAATTTTCACCTCAGTTTTGTCTGTGACACTTTAACTTGAGAGCTACAGTAGTTCCTAACAATTATCAAGCTGTCTCACATGCAATAATTGCCATATGGCTAACAACGTTGCCCCTAATTCTCCTTTAACTTAGCTTGTATTTTCCTTTGGCCTTTTTCAACTACATTAACTCTGAAATGTTTTAACCTTTAATTTGTCATTAAAGGTTATATTGTCATATGACAATATATAAACTATAAATTCAATAAAATAAAACATTACTAACCTTGATATGGCCTTAAGCCTATGTTTCAAAGAAACTGTTCTCCATTTTTTCAAAGAAATGTTCTTCATTTTCACGGTGCATGGTTTAATCTCCAGCTCTGCAACTTTGCCTGTGACTATTCGGTGTGCGGAAGAAAACAACAAAATTGACAAGAGAATCACACAGTTTATGCTGCCAATAGGAGCCACTGTCAACATGGATGGGAGTGCTCTCTACGAAGCTGTGGCCGCTATATTTGTTGCACAAATGAATGACTACACACTGGATGTTGGTAAAATCATAACTATCAGGTGCGTCAATGACATTTTCAGTTATTATATATCGACTTCAGTTTCTTCAGTACTGTTTTGGCTGCTTGCTTGCTACACGAAATGGGTTTTGGCAATACAATATGTATTATGTTTGTAATATGTTAAGTCTTTGGCAATGAAGACACTGTTGTTCAGGGGCTTTGGAATGCCTTTTTTAAGCTTGCAAACTCATCACTGCAATCCTCTTACCAACACAAGAAGGACTACCAGCATACAGTACGTCATCCAAAATGTGCACTGTGCAACCTTTTCACATTGTGAATACGTAATGCCTCCAGTGAACTTATAACTGAACTCTCCCTGAGAGCAGTGCGAGCTCACAGGTGCCAGGCAAACTTACAGGGGCTTTATTGCTTTGAGTATTCCATTCACAGCCAGCTAGTGACATAGCCCAGATTCAAAACCTCAGAACACCAATGCATGGACAATGGCTTGAATCTGATCAATAACCTTAACGAAGCATTACCAGGACTCCTCTTGTGTCAGAATAATTGGAATGTAGCTGGGAAAAGGAGTCATGAAATGAAACAACGAACAAAAGATTAATCATTAATCATGTAAGGAGTACTGTATGTCCACATTCTACATTTCCTGACAAAACCTGACATGACACTGTTCTTTCTTTGTGGAAAAAAAAATGTTACCAGAGTTACCCAACTCATAGATATGAATGTTACCCAATAGATATAATCTATTATATCATAGATATCATAGATATCATAGATATCAGGTGGTTTCCAGGAACAGTTTTATCTGAACTTCTGATGATTGTTGGAGACATTTATGATTGATGTAATAAATGTTAGCTTTACGTTTTTTAGCCTTTCTTGTTGTAAGCTGATTCCTCACAGTCTGTTTCTGTCATCAAGTTGATGGAGAATCTCTTACTTGTGTTTATGTTTAGTATAACATCAACATTAGCCAGCATTGGCGCAGCAGGAATTCCTTCTGCAGGCCCTGTTACCATTTTGATCGTCCTTTCTGCTGTGGGCTTACCAGCTGAAGATGTTATGATTATTTATACCATAGACTGGCTGGTGTAAGTTCTTTTTTCATTTTTTAAATTCATTTACAATACAATTTTGGCCACATGTATTGTCTTTTATGTACAGAAGATGCAGTTGCTTACAGTAAAAATGACCAAATCTTGTCAATGCCCTGGAGATATACTGTAGATGTTGGACATTGGTCAAAGGTAGATGCACATTGCATTGTTTCAAACATTGGAACATTACTGCAGATGGATTGCGTTTACAACGAGGCATGTTTACAATTCAAATTCAGGAAGAAAGCAATGTTAATGACATCCTTCTACAGTAAGTGCTAACTTAGTGACTTGTTACACTGCAATAATAACATTCAGTGGAAAAACATCCCAAAAGTTTGAGTAAGCTAGAACAGGTGTAAAAACATCTAGTTTAGAACATCAAGAAAACATTTGTATTATTTTCTCAGACAATCTGCTTTTTTATCTTAAATATAGTGGATACAGATCTGGGTATGATGCAGAACCATATTGTGTTGTATTGTGGATAAAAATGTGGAACATTTTTTCTCAGAAATCAGAATTGAATGGTGTAATGAATAAAGAAAAAAATAAAATGTAGGTTTACATAATGAATTTTCAGCATTTATTTTTCTGTATATAGTACTTGTTAATCTTCTTGTTACACAATGTTCAAACTTTTTCATGCCCTGTAGGTAATAGTGAAAATAACTGTCACTGTCCAAAGCAAAGAAAACAGTGATACAAACTTTCCCAGAATAATGAATGCATGTCATCTGACCAGATAAAAAGCAAATTTAAAGCAGAACCTACTTAATAATAGCAGGTTAATAAACCACCTTTGCAACTCTAGTTGTGTAACTATTGAAGATCACTAACACTTTGTATGTGCGGTTACTAGGGATAGTTACTATAATAAAAGTCAAAGGTGCTATTGCAGTATATACTGTATAAATACACTAGTCATACAGTATTTACATATTTCCTAAAACGGAGGAATCTGAAATATCTAGAGTGTTTGAAGTTGTGGATGTGGGACATACAGTAGAGAAAAGAGCTATCTGACAGCTGAACGTTCTCTTTTGTGCTGCTCTCACACGCTGTCTGTCTGTTTCAAACAGAGATCGCTTCCGGACTATGATCAATGTGCTCGGGGACGCCTTCGGAGCCGGCATAGTTCACGAACTCTCTGTGAAGGAGCTGGAAAGCAATGACCTTACTTCTGACAGGGAAACTGTCAGCCCTTTAGACACGGAACCGATGACAGATGACAATGAGTGTGAGAAAAAGTATTGCATTAATGAGGGCTTCTCTGCTGATAAAGATGACTCCCTGTTGCACACAGAGACTTCTCGGGTTTAGGGAAAGCAGAGAGCACAATTAGGACAACGTTATTGCCGTTAAATGTCTAATTCTGTACTCGATCATATAAGAATGAAGGTATTACTAAATTGTTTACCATGTGTTCTTTTAACCCAAGTTGTTAACATGAATGCTATCCCTGGGAAGCAATTTGGAAGGTGTTAATATGCAACTGTGTCTGACTCAAGCTGGACAATTTAGGTGTTTCAGTACATAAGGGCAGAATGGCTGTAAATATGAGGAGGCTGTTCATCTCATCTAACCTGTTTGGTTGTTAGTAACTAATTGATCCCAGGATCTCATCCAATCATTTTATCGGCTTTAAAGATATGGCTTCTGCTCTTACAACCTTTTGGGTAAAGCTGTGTCCAGTTTAAAATGCACTTACATATAGTGCTCACTTGTTTTCTCATGTTTGTTTTCCACTCTGCATTCTTAAGATATCTGATGTGTCCACTTTGCCATTGCCTTTGAAAATTTTGAATACTTGAATCAGGTCCCCTCTTAGTTTTCTGTGTCTAAAACTAGATTCAGTTCCTTAGACCAGTGTGGGACATTTCTATTTATCCTCAAATATACTGGTAGCTATACGGTAGCTATTCAATGCAGGAATGCCTTTTCTAAAAAGTAGTGATAAAAATTGAACACAGTATTCTAAATGAGAGCTTACTAGTGCATAATGCGATTTCAACATAACATCCCTAGATTTAAATTTTATTCTTCTTATTATATTGTCTATGTTTCGCTTGCCTTTTTAATTGATTCATCACATTGTCTTGAAGACACCGAAGTCATAAGTAGCTTCTTCTGTCTCAGGATTTCCCACTTACTGTACAGAAAAATGTCAGAAGAACTCACTTTTTTGAGCCCGTACTGAGTGTGTACCAGGATAGGACTTCTGCTTAACTTTTGAACATTGCCTGAAGAATCATTTGTGTTCTATAACTTTACACAACTAACTTGTGTTACATCGGAGAGTAACTATGAATCAACTATAAATGAATTATGATTATTAGACCTGAAATATTGGATTTAGAAAAAAAAAGCATAACTAGCTGGAATTCTTATTTTAATCCTTTAATTTACCTTTGAATTTGTCGCTTAAGAAACTACTGTAAGTTGGATCTAAATTACACAATGTAATTGAGGCTGGCAGTAGGTGTTCACAGAACTGGGTTTAAAGATGAAAGTGAGCTGAAGAGAGAAATACCATCTTTCTTGCTTCTGAGCCAGGATTCTGACAGGAAGCTGTTGGCAATCAAGGCACGACTGCTTTTTGAGGCTTTTAGAAACACAATTTATTATTGTAGGCCTTTTCTTATCCTCAGCAGTTTCATAACTTTAATTTATTCCCTTTCTTGTACTGTAGGTCAAAGGCGTACATTGAAAAGAATTTGAAGGACACAGAAAGTGTTGTAACAGTTCAAAAACTAATGAGAAGGAAATCAAGGCCAATCAAATTAAGTTCCTTTGTCTCTGTAAAGATTAGAAATATAGTGAGGGAGGGAGTTTTTTTCTGGGAAAAAATTGATTGTTTTAAAATTATTTTTGTACTGTTTCTTTTCCCCAAAATAAAATTGATCACAAAAACATTCCTTTTTCCTTTGTCCAGTTCTCTGTGTATTATGTGTATTCTGTCTACATCTCAGGAATATTAACAGTAAGGGCTTTGGTTTCAAGGAAAAATCAGATTTATCTGTTACAGATAACACTCAGACACCACACCAAGCCAGTGTGATACCCATCCTTGCACAAAGTGGCAAACTATCCAAAATCACAATGACATTGTCTGTTTCCAATACATTGAAATTCTTCAGTCTCTTGCTGACTACATACAGTATCTCTCTCAGTTTGTCCAGCCTGATGTTCTTTTATCTTTTCTCAATCTTTTATCAAGCTGTCTTTGCGTATTCACTGATTCTCCTTTTATTAAGTTTTCTGTATTTTCTTCTGATTCCAATCATATATCGTTCCATGTGAACTATTTCACAAGTTTCACAAGTAGGTGTCATGATCTGCACTACTATTTGTCACACCCTCTGCAGCCAGAGGGCCTTCCTTCTCTGTCCTGTCTCTCATTTCCAGTTCTCTGCTGTCCTTCCGGTGTTTCTCTCTCTCTCTGGGGCTATATATTTCCGGGTCTTTCAGTCTGCCTTCGCTCAGCATTGACGTTCAGATGTCCTGAAACCTGCCTAGCACCAGGTCGCCCCACATCCACTACCTAAGGGCATAGGTTTCTGTACAGCATTCCCTGAACAGCTGAGCCCGGCTTCAGCCAAATGTCCGTTTAACAGGGTCAGGCTCATGAGATGCACTATAATATTGACTGAGGAGCAAAACATACAGTGGCATTTTGGGTCTCCACGTAGCCTGTGTCATTCAGAGATTTATGTTGATTCCCTCAGGACTCTCTAGATTTGACATACAGTACAGTAGCATAAACTCATATAGTATATCACTTAGTTAATTGTGTTTAATAACTTGTTAATTGTACCCCAGGAAACCAAACTACTGTAATTAGATTACCCACATTTTTGCCCTGTGTGCAATTTGCCTACATAAATTTTCTTCCAATTTAGCTGTACACAGCATATATTAATTTTCCATCAATGTACACAGTAGATAATAAAAGTGTGATGGGATTCTGTTATTAAAGCAGCAGTTACTGTATACCATGGTCAAATGTTTAATAGTGAAATGGACTTTAATTTTACTACAATAGTGCTCCACTCCATAAAGAAAAATGGAAAATTTTGTATTAGAAATTTGGCTTGTCCAGCATGATAATTTCACAATTTGACTGCAATTGCAGTTTTCAGAGTTCAGCGAATATGTAAGGGAATTTGACATAGAGAGAAAAAAGATGAAACAGCATCCCGACATGGTAGAAAGCAGAGGTCTTACTTTGTGCAAAGTTACAGACAATGTAAGGAAAAAATGTGTTTTGGGATAAATTACATTTGATTAAATTACTTTTTTGGCAGAACTGTTCAAATGAAGAAAAAGACCTTCCATATATTGTACAGGTAATTAGGACTGCATGTCCTACTTCTGTGCCAAATGTTAAAAGCCTCATCTGCAAAGGAAAAGTGAAAAAGGTGATTAACTTTATCTGGGGTGGGTTTTTAAAATGGTGACAGACTAGAACACTTTCGAAATTGACTCTAGGTCAATAACAAGCGGGTTAGTGCTTCATCACCACAGAGCTGAACCAAAGAAAGAAAAAATGCTTTCATCCATCTACTGAACACTTAGTAGAAAATAATGAATTTGTAAATATATTGCTCAGGAAATAGAATTTACTTACAAAACGCCATATTTCATGGGTAACAGTGCAGTGGTGAGCATTGCAGCCACATTCAATTCCGGGAGTGCTGTCTGTATGGAATTTCTAAGCTCTCCCAGTACATGCTCTGGTTTCCACTGGGTGCTCTGGTTTCCTCTTTCCTCATAGACATACTGGGGGATTAATTGGATTTTGAGAAAACTAGCCACGGTATGAGAGTCTGTGGGTGTATGTGCCCTGCAGTGGAGTGGCCTCCCAGCCATGGAGTAATAATAATAATAATAATAATAATAATAATAATAATAATAATTGCTTAGACTTATATAGCGCTTTTCTGGACACTCCACTCAAAGCGCTTTACAGGTAATGGGGACTCCCCTCCACCACCACCAATGTGCAGCATCCACCTGGATGATCCACCTGGAGTATCCTTGTCCTTTTATATCTGGGATAGGCTCCAGCTCCCCCGTGACCCTATGTTGCACAAAAAGATTAGAAAATGGATGGAAGATGGAAGTGCCAAAAAACGGACACTCGCACTTACTATTGTAGGGTGTTGAGTGGGTGAGAATTCATTTTTAAGGCAGAGTATCTCTTGGATTTGCATATCCACGACTTGCTTGAACCAGTGACAGTCACAATCACTCATGGTTTTTCCTCATAAATTGACCTAGTGTGCCCTTTCTATTTTGATAACCTTATGTTACGGATAACCTGATGTCTTCTTCATGAGAATGTATCTAAAATGTTCTTTTCATAAATGTAGTCTCATATTTTATAGCTGGGACTTACTGTAAGTAACATTCAGTTAAGCTAAGTATAATAAGCAAAAGCTATTAAGAGAGATAAGAGCACTTTATTGGCCATATACAATTTCTTGTATTAGGAATTTGTCTTTTCACATACCCCAACTTGCTCTCCATGAGACACACAGACAGGGAGAGAAGCTTGGGGTTAAAGCGCAGGGTCTGCCATTTTTATACGGCACCCCTGGAGCAGTCGGGGTTAAGGGCCTTGATCAGAGACCCAGTGGAGTAGGATTCCTCTGCCAGCCGGGGGTTACAAACCGGCAACCTTCCAGCCACAGGCGCAGATCCTTAGCCACAGACCCACTTCACCGCACCAAATTTCTAAACATATTACTTATTTGTTCTGAGAAACAAAATCTAATAAGCCACGTAAAGAGAGAAAGGCATACTACAGTATCAAATCTGACAAGTGTCAGAATTGAGATTCAGCAATAGTAAAAGAAAATGCCCTGTCCAGATTTGTGGATTTGAAATGAACAACTGTAGCCAGAGGGTGGCAGTGTGAAGCCAGGAACTTGACTGATTTCTGGAGGAAGGACTTCAGATTGGATTTTTCCACCCCAAAATGTATATATCATTTTATATGAGAGTGACATTTATTAAAACAACAAAGATGCGCACATTGTTTTGTAAGTGTGTTTTGCTTTTAGCTAATTCCTAAGTTTTCTTCTGTTGAAAGTGTTTAATTAATATCCCTTAAAGGCTATAGGGACTGAAAATATATTAAAATACATGTACAGTGGATGTACAGTTCCCTACATTGGTGTATAGTCTGTTTGGTCATTGTGTACTCATTGTCTGTTACAAAACACCCGCACAAAGGCATACTGTCAATATAGCCTCCTCAGCCTTCAAATAGATCTTTTGATGTGCATCAGACTGTACTGATGCAAAATGATACAATAATGACTCCTGTGCAATCAGGTGTCAGTCATTTACATACTCTATTAAATCCTTGTGGAAACAGAGTCAAGATGGATTAACAGCTCCAATGGAAATAGTTTGTATCAATTCAAAATCCAAATTATGATCAAATGAAGGTCATAATGGAAGGGATAAACATTATTCATGTTACAGGAACAATGCGAAATCAGGGATTTTACTGCTAGTGTCAGTGGCATCGAGATGTGGTTATGGTTCTGGATTCCTGACTGGAAGGCCATGGGTACAAATTCTCAGGCAGTACACTGATGTACAGTAGTATCCCCAGCAAGGTACCTGAATAAAATTGCTCCACTAAATACAGTGCTATATAAATGCTACTTGCCACATCATTATTTCTATGACAATTTGTTCTTAATTGACATTTGATGGCTAAACCGGAGATTACGTTTAAATATTTAACAACAGATTTCCCATTTACTTAAATAATTAAGTTAAACCAAGGATTTCGTTTAGATATTAAACCAGGGATTTCAAGAAATTTGGGAAACCCATGGGCATGTCTTACTGTACATTCTTGACATTCCAAGACTGTCCTGTAGGTTTCCAACAACAGGGCTTTAAAAATTCCACACATTTTAATGTATCTGCCAAGAAGTCTTTTATAAAAAAATTGAGCAATGCTTGGAAAAAACAGTGCGTGCTCTGGATTCACTCCTCATACCATTGCCGTACGGCTCTTTTTTAAAAGCTATTTAAATATGTTGATATGGTGACCTTAGCAGGCTATACCTGCATACTTTAAACATGCAAATATGTGTGAAAGAATAGGGTCAACAAAAAAGTTGTCATGAAGTAGTGTATTAGACCTCCTTTGTGACTCTGCCACCTATATAGGCATATAGTCCTTTATTTCTAACACTGAGTCTCGGATACAAAGGTAAGACGAGAAGCACACCTAGAAAACTGCATCCAATCCCATGTGATTTTATATTGTTCGTCCTAAATACATTTTACAACCCAAAATTCCAAAGGACTTCAGAAGTAATTGTCACGGACGTCCAAAGGGACTAACCGTGGGGAGCAAGAGAGCAGAAAAAGACCCATATGCGTAGCGGCGAGACGGGAAAAAGGCCCGGGCTCATTAGTGCAAAGAGTTCAGGAATGCCGTATAGAAACCTATGCCCTCAGGGAGCGGACGTGGGGCGCCCTGGTGCTAGGCGGGTCTGGACATCCGAACGTCAATGCTGAGCCAGGACAGAGTGCAAGACCCGGAAATATATAGCCCAAGGGAAAGAGAGGGACAGGAAGGACAGCAGACCGGAAACTAGGGACAGGACAGAGAAGGAGCGGCCTCTGGCTGCAGAGGGCGTGACAGTAATATTCCTATTACATTTGTAATTGTAGCAGAAAGGGCATACAAAAGGTGACACTTCTTTCCGGATCACCTCTTGGTTGGAAAAAGCAAGAGGTGACTCTGAAATCCAAAAAGAAAAGCAGACGAAGAACACGTTCAGAAAATACGGCCACATATCACAGAACGTTACATGGGAAAGTTTCAAACCAGCAAGTTCTTCCTCAAGCAACAATTACTGTACACACAGACAGATGCCTTGGGAATCTTAGAAAACCAGTGTTAATTAAAAAAAAGAAGATTCTATGAATTCTATGAGAGCTTGTGTGAAGTTATTTAATTTAATGCCCACCCAAGACATGACACAAAGATAATACTACATGTACAGTAGGGCATCCACGGCATTTGCTTTAAGAAGACTGTCTACAAACAGAAAAAAAGATAAAGAATGAATATTTAAATTTAAAACATCAGGAATACAGCGAACAGAAAGTGAATCTAAATTCGTTGTCAGTTATTAAACCATTAAAGGAGTGATTAAGACACAGAAAAGGCCTGTGAAATGTTATGAAAGCAGTAGTAGTGTGAAAATGTGAAGACTGAAAGACAAATGATTTCCATGTGTGCATTCATCAGATTGTTTTGTATTTCTAAAGATAGTCATGTTGTGTACAACATTCCCAGCTGTTTTCTAGCCACAGTTTCACTTAACTGTATAATCTTCACACTTTTTGCTGATGTGCATACTGGCCCTCTGTAAACTGACAGTATGAGCATCTTCATCACATTGCTGACCTCTGTGACCTTGTTTAGCATCTGTGGGATCTGTACCGTTGAATCTATCATAGGCACATGACTTCAGTGTTCATTTAACTACTGTACATCCCCACACATCCTTTATCCTGTAGTCGTGCGTCAGGACTCACTCCTCCTAAAGTCACGTCTCCCTTCTCCTTGGCAGACTCATCCCCTGCCCCCCAGACGCACATCATTCCTCTCCCCTCAGGTCTTTCCCAACATTCACCACTCCCGCCCCTAATCTCCACTCCCACTTGACTCACGTACCCTTACTCCTCAATCCACTGGTCTCTGGCAAATACTGCCTCGGAAATATCTCAAGCTGAAATAGAGAGATGTTAGAAATAGGGGCGGGTACTAAAAAAGACACCCTGACTCCAGTTTTAGTAATGTAACTAATAATTAAAATGAATAAAAGACTCCGTACACAATGCTCATGAATTTTTCAGAGCACTGCCATGCGGTTCATTTATTTCTCTCCCAGTTTAGTGACTGAGCTATAAACAACAAAGATTTCTTTACAATTATTACAACCTAAACACATGATACAAGACAAGCAAACCATTATCTACAAATTTGTCAAAAAGACTTCAAGTCCAGACTTCTTACGGTCTAAAACTATGCTCTCTCATCCCCTCAAACAAGAGAGGGTAGTTTTAGACAAAGCAAATTGGTTTAGAGAGGTAAGACAAAAGATCCACCACAGCTTTTCAAAACTAATGCTAATCTGAGAGAACTGTGACTCCAAAGCAGATGGTGCATCCCAGTTTTATACTACTGTATATGCCTGCCTTCCCAGAGGAGCTCTATGAAATACAAATTTCCTTAAATTTGAACACACAATTTTCCTAAATTTATTGCTGGTCTCTTCAGTGTTAAGAAATACCTGTTAGGTTTCAGTACTCAAGAATTAGACTCAAATTTCTGGAGATCTCACCTGTTGAAAAGTGGACCTTGCTGGCTTTGTCTGTTTTGTAAGTAACGGGAGACTGAGAGGCATCATTTCTGCTTTAATGAAGGACATGTGATAAGTGGGTAGTTTTTTATGGACAATCCAACACCTGCTGACCTGATCTGGGGGCTTTTGAACATGTACAACTCTCCAGACTTACTGGAGTCACTCGGTAGGTGGGTCTGCCTTTGTATTCCTTGGCTTCTGAACTGTGCTTCCATTGTTTGACTCTGGTTAATAACTGTCCTGTATTGGCTAAATGATGTCAGTCAGGCTGTCATAATCCAAATTGGTATAACTAGTACTGTATATGACTGACCAATGACATTGTTTATGCATATGTTTTTCTGTGCACGTACAGTATGTGGAAATATGCAATAATAATAGTAATGATGATGATAATGATGAAGAGAGTTAAATGAACACTATCGATCAATTGATTCCATCTATTGCAGCTTGGACAGGACCTTTATTGTGTTTTACATAATGCACGTTGAAGTTACCTGCAAAAGCCTGTGGTAACATAGTCTTTTTTAGCTTGACTTGAAATTTAGGGCAAGTCAGCAGTGCCCTTAAGTAATGTTAGGGAAGGATGGTGAAAAGATGGCTCTTCAGAACCATATCAGGACAATAACACAGCATCAAAAGTAATCAAAATGGTGGACAAGCTCTTGCTGATTGGAAGGGAAGTAGAAATCTGACAGAAAGTTGGCAGAGATGGCCCCATGACTCCACAGTTATACAGTACTGCAGACGTGTTGGGATTCACAAAATATTTTAAGTTTAAATTGTAATTGTGTTAGCTTAGTGACTTCTGATTGACCAACTTGTTTTCTGAAGTTCAACAGTCCAACCTTCTGTACAGCATATACTGTAACAAATTATTTTACTTTTGTTATATTTTACATTGAATTTACATTGCACTTTAGTTTTCAAGTTGTAACCATTTTAGGTGGCCTTGTTATCTTTTCATAAAATACAATTTTTCAGAATTTCTAGCATTGTATGCTATAAAATGCCCTTTATCATGTGTTGTAATCTACACAGTTATGATGCTGATTATAATGTGGATATTGAACTCAAACCACGTAGGACATAAACGGTATTGTTTTTGTGCGCCGAATTTTCTCTCCCTCTCTCTCTTTCTATGATTAAGGATGTAACAGGCGGCTGAGAAATGAGTGGAAGGCAAACAGTACGAGCCTCCAAGCAGGACAAAGTGCAAGCAGAGGGATGGTGAGGGGTGAGGTATTGCTCACATGCGGTTAACTCTAGTGCCGTTCAGGTAATGAGAGAGAAGACTTGATCCCTCCCACGTTCTCACTACAAATCAGTCTCCCACGGAGGCAGTCTGAACGCTGCGACTCACAACAAGACCTGGAATCAGCAGAACAAGCGCAGCTAATAGAGCTGTCCCACCTCTTGCTTCTTCAAACGCATTGTGTGCGTGCTTTCTGTTTTATTTTAGATCTTTTTTTTTTCTTTTCCTTCCTGTGGGGAGCAAGGAAGACCACTGGGGCTGAGGATGGGGAAGAAAGCCAAGAGAGGCTGTGATTTTAAGAGCTTTTTCAAGAAAAACTGGCTTCTGATCACCACGGTGGCTGCCGTGATCCTAGGTAAGCCTTCTGTTTTCAGCATGCGGCGCATGAAAGAAGGGCTATTGTCAGACAAATCCCTGCCAGCTGTCTCTCTCTTGCAGTCTCTTCATCTGCCTCGCTCCATTTCACTGCGCCTGGCGCTATTCAGGACTGCAGTGAGGCAGGGAGTCTGCTTTGTTAAGAACAGCCCATGACATCTTCCCAAACACTCTCCTGTCTGATCTGGGATCGCAAGCATGACGACGATGCAGAGGCATAGTGTCCACAGCTCAGATGCTTATTACTCTTTATACAGATATAGATATAGTTCCATATACAGTAGATAAGGAACTATATCGAGCTGACCGGAGTGCGGGATCAGCAGTCCATTAGCATCCTTTCTTCCTGAAGCTGTCAGGGCAGAAGCCCAGCATCCCATCATACATGTGAGTCTCAGCACACATGCACAGCTTTGGTTAACTGTTTAGACTACCAGGAAGCCAGGCATTTACCCATTGCAAGAACTGTGTCACACTGTGTGGTTTGGGACTAAATCCTTCTGCTTGGTCTAACACAGTAAACGAGTAACAAAATTACTATAATTTGGAGGTTACATTTAAAACACCTGTTTTAATCCTCATATATCTATCTGCCTCTCTATACTTTTGTAGATTGTAACAATGCATCTGTTGATTAATTGCCTTTAATTCGGGTTATTGATATTCGCAGTGAGGCTGCAATAGATACAGCATGGCAGGGATTATTTATTATGAGACAAACAGCTTTATTAGGACAGGTTATTTATGGCAAGTCATGAATGTGGAGAGTTTGCATATTTAGATATTTATTTTAAAAGATTAAAGTATGTGGGAGGTGGGGTGTTCAAGGGCTTAGAATTTCAACTTCATATTTAATACAAACAAAGTTTAACACCTAAAAATTGAACAAAGTCAGAACTATTGTAATATTCCTCAAATTTATTTCTCTAGCTTAGTAAAAAACATTATGAGGTATATCCAGTATGTTGTGAATTTTGCATAGATTACAGTAGTATCACTGGAATGTAATATTACACTCGGTAGTTATATATAATAATATTCTTGCTAGTTGTACTTTATCTTTATGTGGACATAATTTATACCAACCAATATAACCTGACTTCCTGACAAGGTTTCAGGAAGATTTTTCTGTAATTAAAGGTGTTCTATAAAAACCAGGGTTGCTTTAACATTATGGCTGGTTTTATGACATTTTGTGTGGCTTAACAGTTTAGTCAAAAAGAACATAGTATACAGGTCTGAACATAAACCCCCCCCCCCCAAAAGAAGATTGTGGAGAGTCTTTGGGCCTTAACCATTGTGCCTGGAGACAAGGCAAGACCTCTTAGACAAACCAGGATGTTGCTCCATTAACAGTGGAGCTGAGAGACGAAAGAGGGGCGTTTGTGTGATGAACCCTGGGAAATACTATATACTGTACAGCCCCATTTTTATACCCTAGAGCCATTGATTTGCATTTGATTGATTGCATTGATTTGGGAGACTCCATTTCGTGTTTGTACTACTGAACAGACACTTTACTTACAGTACATGAAGGATCTATTTTGGGAAATTGTGTTTTAGATATGTTTTCAAATGTCTGAACCACTTTCTTCTTCACTTTATGTTGATTGCTACAAAAAATGACCACATCATCTTTTCATCCTTTTAATTTAGTCTTTATTCCAAAATATTATTTTAAGAATTATAATAGCTGGTCTAGAAAGGTGATTAGTTTCTGTTTGTACCTGCTAAGATTATAAAATCTCCACGTTTTACAGGAATGAAAGACAAATACCACAATTGCTTGTTCTTCTTCCTCAATCAACATTCCTTGTTAATTGTTAATAGATTTCCTACTTATTGTTTCAAAAGCAGGTAATGACATCAAGAAGGGTGTTAACCTTCCAGTTGTAGTGTGGGAGTATGATAGATAGTACTGTTACCTACAGGACAGAATCAATCATGAATATTGCAAGGGTAATACAGCACTATTTGTGGGTGTTACTGTGTGTGGAAGTATATCGCTCCTTTCAAATGACAATTTGTGAGCTAGACACACTGTAAGTGACATGCACTGAGGCTATTGCCTAAAATGTGCATTTTACAGTGAGATAGCCTACTGAAATAAATCACGTTACTACAGGATGACCGATTGCTAAAAACATTTTCTATGACAAACTGGCAAAAAAAGAAACAAATAAGAGGACACAAATAGAAAGAAAGATGTGGGAGTGCTCTTCAGTACTAAAGACAGGAGGCACTTCGTTAATCAAAGAGGTGTGGGAGTGTGAAACAGGCTGCACAGCCGTGTTGTTGAAGCCAATATCCTGGCCTCTTTCAAGAAGTGGCAGGTTGAGATTTTTGGATCAAATAGCTGCTGAGCTTTGAACAGTTTAGATGGCCTAAATGACCTCCTCATGTTTTCTCTCATTCTCATTCCACCTTTCTTAGTTTTTCATGTGAATATGCTCCTTTAGGGAATGTGAACTCAAGACCCTTGTGCTGTATTGGCTATAAGAATCTGCACCGTGTTTGAAATCGGTTGATTCACCTGGCATCACCGAAACCATATTGTGTTAATCAAACATTTCAAAGTAAATTAAAAGTATGGCTGATTATTTTTTATTTATTATTTCTTCCACTGATGGATCTCTCCTTTTAATAAAAAAAATCCATCCCAAAAAGATCAGTACGGATATATTTGTACAAAATATATAGAAAAATCTCAGTTTTTCTCAACAATTTCTGCTGTTTCTGTCAGAGGAGATGATCTGCTTTCCAGCTACCACATTAATAAATTGTTAGAAATTTGTCTGGTGATGAGTCTGGAAAATAACTATTATGATATATACTGTACCAGGATGACACCAAATGTTTTGCCATTGGCTGTTAAATGTATAATCCTAACACAAGTTTAATTACTGTATATTAATAACAAACAATTATAGTTAATAAAAAACACCCCCTTAACTCAAGAATGATTCAGAGTGTGGTGACATGGTTCATTTGTTTCCAGCACAGTTTAATGTCGCAAAGGAAACTGTGAATTCCATGCTGAGGGGTAAAGAAAAGACATTTTGGCTGTGGAGCCTTCTTCCAGTGAGCAGTTTAATGTTAGTGTCATTAACAGAAGAAAAACTTAAAACACTAAGGTAACACAAACTATGAAATACAACTATTATTTGAATAGAGTTTACAAAGATTACTGAGTTAAGGCATTCGACAAACATAGACCAGTCATTCCCTCAAACATAGACCAGCCTCTTCTTGTTTAGGGAAGTAATGCAGACACTCTTCAATGGGACACTCTGCTCTCTAGAGCTAATTCTAAATTCACCAAACTATTTTCCTATAGCAGATACAGCAACCAGGAAATACAGGCTCTGCCTAGTTGGTGATAAAAGGAAATAGACAACTGCTCAAATTTAAGATCCTTTTTTTTGGTTAAATTTCAGTATGCAAAAATACTTGGCAAGATTCAGTCCTCAATGAGCAGGCTCATAGGAGTTTTGGTCTGTAGAAAGGTAGAGCTCATTTACTGCACTCTTGCTTCTTCAGTTTTGGAGTTAGGAGGGACCCCCTTTGATAATAGCATCTCTTAGGCTGTCATTTCTTCCTTAGAGGACTTGTGATTGCTGGTTTATTTTCAAGGACACCCACAGTTCCTGACCTGACCCAGAGTTTTCCAACCTGCTTCGTCATCCAGATTTACTGTCTGTGCCTTCCATGGCACTGAGCTTCTGGGTCTTCCTGGCTTTTAGCCCTGGTTAATCATTGTCCTGTGTTCGCTAAATGGTGTCAGAGTGTTGAAGTGTTGTCATTATCGAAAATGCTACAAACAAGTATATCCCTGACTCATCACAATATTAAAATAAGTTTTGTTTTAAAGATGTTTCTCATTGTTGTATGGTTCACACAGTTCATATCTAAAGTCAGAGTGTGCTGGGAAATGACAAGAGTGTGCTGGGAAAATTAACAGTTTTGTTAATTCTTGCAAAAACTCTGTTGGGCCAACATAACTCATGCTGTCCTGCTACTGTACATATGGAGGCTGTCACTGGAAAAAATTGCAGTGAAAAGGAAAACCTGTGCTTTAAAAATTCCAACAGTTCCTGTTTTTTTAGTTCCACTCTTCAGTTGTTCTTCTGACTTCTTATTGCTTAGATGGGACATACAGTACAATAACTCTGCTAGTGGACAGTCAGCTCTTGTTCTGTTGGATGTGATGTGACAGAGTTTACAGAACCATCGCAAACTAATAACTTTGACAGTATAATAAATATGATCCACCACAATATGTATCGTATGCCCTCTTTTAATGCCCTCTTTGTTCCAGGTCTCCAGATTTCAACAAGGAATCCTGCAGTATACCACCAAAACATTCATAATGATGTAGAGCAAAAACCAACAAAAGGACTAAACAACTTATTGTTTTAGAACCTATGCTGTTGGTCACTTTAAGAATAATGGTAGCTTTACAGAATAGTAGAGTGGGGGTCTCCAATCCCGGTCCTATACTGTAGATCCCCAGGCCAATTTTAGAGGTAGCCTTTAAATCATCAACTTAATTAAAATTTTTCATTAACAATAAAGAAATCAAAATTCCGTTCTGCCTTTTAAGGTCTAGAGTTCCCTCAGTTGAACAATAACTGGCATGTTTTCCTAATCTTTAAAAATCAGGTGATTCAGGGTGATCTACAGTATATGACCAACATTGTTTATGATTAATGACTGGGGATCTCAAGAATCAGGGGTATCACTATCAGTAAAAACCTTGAGGTCACAGTCCTGGGGGAAGAGTGGCAAGCTGACATAACTTTTCGGTCTTTGTTTCTTTACCGTATAACCACTTCTTGTTCAGTATCATGACAGCAATCTTTTGTATCCCAGAGCTTTTTTAAGATGAAAATCCTTCTACTGTGAAGTCTGTCCAACTATTAATTCATTTTGTCACCTTCTGCATAACCCAGCTGTTTCAGAATGGAAGACTACTTTTCTGTGACAGAAAATATCTGCACCCAGTAGTGTAGAGCAGACTTCAAGCCAAGATATGGGTCAACAGCAACCGAGTTCTTGCAAAAACAAAAGTCTGTAATACAGTACAATAGTGTAACAAAATGAAAAACATAATGGCTAATAAGTAGCATAAACAATAAATTCCAATTCACAAATAAAACAATTGCTTAAAATGTCATGGGTAAAAGCATTCACTTAATTAGGTTTATTATTTCAGTTATTGTGAGAAACTTATAAACACTAAGTAATCACTGACATAAACTGCACTCTTCTGATTAGTTATCTTATAGTGATAAGTGTTCATACATACAGTATAATCCAGAAAATAACCTAATTGCCAGATAAACATTTGCCATGATGACAGATATTGTTTCTTTCACTGCACATGCAGTTTGTGTGGCCAGATTCAAACAAGAAGAAGGATCCAAGAAGAATGTGGCAGTGCAAAATGCTTTAGATGAAGTGAAGATATGTCCGAATGAATGATACCAAAATAGTGGAAAATCACACAACCTCTAATGTGACATTAGACCTCACACATACACAGCTGCTCTGTGTCTCCTATGCATATGCAGCAAACCTGTGTACCAGTCGATTGCTTTTATTTTTACAGCCCATGAGAAGAACATCAAATTATCACACAGGTTTATTCACAGTTTTACAACCCTCTGATGGCACCATGATAACAATACACGTTATACAGCCCCACCTTCAGCTTATGATCCCAGGGAAGGCTCTGTGTTTCTCTCCTGATGCTGAGCAGAGGTTTTGGTAATGAGTGCTCTTATGGATCAATTATTGAACCACTGAGCGTTTGTTTTATGGTCTTTGCTATACAATACACAGCATTTTAGCTATAAAAATGATAAAGTGATGGGTTTTATAAGGCACATTTTCTTTTGGATCCAATCTGGGTCAAAGTCTGCAAGAAGCTCCTTTTGGCAATCAAAGGAGATGATATATAATATTTTCAATAATTAATCATATGAATGCTATTTTGAATAATTTTTAAACATGTGGATTCTCACAGGCTTGTCCTCTAACATTGTAAGGGCTGTTTAGTCCACACAGGGAATTTACTTTTACTATAAGTTGCTTAGGTTTTACAGAAGTGATTTACCATAAACCCTATTTATCACCCATAGATGTTGAAAAACAAATGTCTGCTCTTAAAAGAAGCTAAATCTGTTCATAATCCTGCAAGATTACTTAATGCTCTTCTTATTTCCTGGCTACAATGTTTTATTTGCTGTCTTGCGTGGTTCAAAATTATTTTAGCTCCAGCTGACTGAAACTGCAGCTTGCAGTTTGTTGACTAGAACAGAAAGCCCTGTTCAAGTAATACGCTGGCTCACAGTCAGAGATATACAGTATATTCAGTCTGGTGCTTGAATTTCACTTACTGTTTAAGGCCCGTCTTGGCTCTGGACATTTACAGCTAAAATTCTATGCTTGTTTTCCTCTAACAAGCAAAGTGATTGTTCTAGCAGGAAACTCAGATTGTCATATTTTCCCTCTAAAGCATGTATGTGCCAGTTCTGTGCCCCTAATCACATACTGTATTAGTCATCATGCAGATGAGTAACTAGTACTCACTCATTAGTTAACTAATAAACAGAATCATACAATGAATGGTAAAAAAGGAATTGTTAGAGGCATCTCTACCAATCAATGGTACTGACTGCTTGAATTTGACACCTTCCCCTAATCCTTCACCTGATTTCTTTCTCTTGACTGTCGTGTGTGCCGTGCCCAGTTATTGCTAATAATCAGGCATGCTAAACATCAAATGCTCAGGGGGAAAGGTTACCTCTAAAGAGGAGTCTAAGGTAGTAGTAGTAATAATAATAATAATAATAATAATAATAATAATAATAATAATAATAATAATTGCTTACACTTATATAGCACTTTTCTGGACACTCCACTCAAAGCATTTTATAGGTAATGGGGACTCCCTTCCACCACCACCAATGTGCAGCCCCCACCTGGATGATGTGACGGCAGCCATAGTGCGCCAGAATGCTCACCACACACCAGCTATCAGTGGGGAGGAGAGCAGAGTAATGAAGATGGGGATTAAGAGGCCATGATTGGTAAGGGCCAATGGGAAATTTGGCCAGGACGCCAGGGTTACACCCCTACACTTTTCAAGAATCGCCCTGGGATTTTTAATGACCACAGAGAGTCAGGACCTCCGTTTTACGTCTCATCCGAAGGACGGCACCTGTTTACAGTATAGTGTCCCTCTCACTATACTGGGGCGTTAGGACTCACAATGATGCAATGTACAAATATGGAATCATTAGTCAACACCTACTGTATTTTAACCAGATCTCCTGACTTGAACCATGAGATTGGTGAACCTTTTGTAGTTACTCAAACTTTACTAACATTAAAGGGTACCAGATATACTATATTCTTAAACTGGACAGTATAATTCTACCAATCCTCTTTGTGTAAAGGTTTAGTTACCATAATACAAGAAAAATATTGCTGCCATGGAATCTGTTAGACAAATATAATGGTAAGGTATAACAGGTTGTATTGTTGAATGAGGTTGTGTAGTTTAAATCATCACAAATGCAATTAATTAACAATTAATTTAGAATGCTGTGTTCAGTTTGGTCTCCATTATATAAAATGTTGCTCTGTTTTTGTTGCTCTGAAATCAGTCCAGAGAGGAGAAATGAGGTATATTCAAGCTTAAAGATATGTCCTATACTGACAGGCTAGAAGAACTAAGACTTTTCAGTCTCTTGTGTTTTTTGTTCACCCGATTAAGCTGTCTGGTACTGCTATTTTGTTCTTTGAGTTCAGCTCAGACTTGACTGCAAGACAGACTGTGTATGAAGTCAGGTCATTATACAGTAGGATGCTTCATCCTAGAATGTTGAATACCATCATTGTTGTCAACGCCAAGATACCTGTATAGGTATTATAAACTAATAATAACTGTTTCATCATCCTTCTGGATACTTTAGCATTTGATAAATGTGTCACCTCTAAAAGAAGTGCACTTATCAGGGCCAAAGTCCATTTTGATGTTATCACTGAAGGTTTTTACAGCAAGCAGAACCTTAGCTATCTGATACTAATCTTAACAGAACAGCTCGACATCATCCATATAAAGGAGGTGGCTAACTCAATGGTCATTATTTACTGCAAATTTGAAATCTTGCTTGTTTAGTATATTGACTAATAATAATGCTAATGAAAAGACAAGGGAAATAAAAGGGCACCTTGGTTTATATTTTGTATGGTGGCAATGTTTTTTTATTTTGATGCTACCTCTTTGATAGATTGAGTGTATTCTCTCTTCCATTCTTCAATTGATGTCTGTACAAACCAAAGTGGGGTTAATTATGTTGATGTTCATGATTATCAGTACCCATGTACAGTTTGTGGGATGTGGGATGATTTGAGCTGGTCATTGCTACAATCATGTTACTTTTTAAAAGCTGACTTTTACAGCCTCTAGAAGCTCATCGGCATCCATTTTGTTGGTCAAGATGTATTTTATTGATATGTAAGTGACTGCCCTCATTAGTTACTGTGACAGTGAGTATCTTCTTAGCAGCAGGCTGGCAAGTACAGTAATTGGATAACAGTTCTTGGGGTCCTTTGCCTTTTGTATCCTTTTCCTTTTGATAGTAGGAAAGTAAGTCTGTTTTGTAGACACTGTTGGGTATCACTTGGATCTTTAATGATGTTATTTAGTGTCTTTGTGAGATCTTCATGTAAGTACATTAAGATTTTTAACTTGATGTGACCCAGAAGATACCCCAGTTGTGGGTTTTCTTGATGAACAATTATTTTACTAGTTGTAAATGAATTCTGTCCTTCTGTTTTTATTTTCCAGAATGACCATACTGTTTCCTTTTCTAAGTATTCAAAACCACAATTTTCCAACTTGCCGCTGAGAACGTGGTTCCTTGATGACACTTTGTTATCATTATTAAAACATCGTTGTGTTCTTTTCGAGATAAAGCCCCTGAAGATTTGTTTAACTCAAGTGCTTCCCTTGTTTACAATTATGTCAGCAGAGAAACTGATTGGTTTGCGAAGGAACTCACCACAAAAATGAAAAATTAGTATTTGGGTAATGAAAATAGAAAATAATAATTCATTACAATTATGTAGCGATTCATATCTGAAAGGATCCCAAAGCACTACATAGCTAAAATGTGACCCATTTCACCCACCTCTGAAATGTGGTTTCTTGGGTGGGTTGCCTTGGTTGCATGCTATACCAGACAATTTGAATTTCACTTTGCCTATCTCACTCTGTTTCACCATTATTAAAGATCATTAGTATGACTAATGAAGCAGGTATTATGCAATAAACAGTAGAAACCGAATTCCAGAGAGAGAGAGAGAGGTACTGCATGTTCTCCTCAGATAAGCTGTTTCTCTGAATGGACTGCTCAGTATTTGTCCTCATTCCTTTCGCAGGTATTGGACTGGGGGTCTTGGTACGCGAATATGCTTCTCTCTCTCACCTAAATAAGATCTACTTCGGCTTCCCGGGAGAGATCCTGATGCGAATGCTCAAATTAGTCATCTTACCACTCATCATTTCCAGCATGATAACAGGTATTGTAATCACAGCAGACTGGATATACCGGGGAGATGAGCTGAGGGGACATGGGCTATTTTTGGTTTTAATGGTTTACCTCCTACCCAGTTACATAAGCATGCTTTATTGTAAACTATTATAGGAAAACAATCAATCATTCCTAATTTTGCCTTAAAAGTAACGGCACACAGGCATACAGTCTAAGGCCTTAGTCAATAATGTTGAAAAAAATGGCAAAGCACAATATAAATTATAAATTAAATCTATACTTTTTTTTTTACTTTTACTTTAAAGGAGTCATTGTTAAAGTGAAGCCTTTTCACAATATTGTGGATTCGTATCCATATAATAGTCCGCTGTTTCTTCTTTTACATTGTGTGCTTTGTTCTTTCTGTCCTTTGGAACACTTTATCGAGTGCCTTATTGTTCGTTCCTTTTGAAGCAGAAAATGCTAATATGTTCGTTTGGAATTAAATGTCATTTTCTGTGAACATTCATACTATGCCACAATGTCCATTTTTACAGGAGTAGCAGCTCTGGATTCAGAGGTTTCTGGCAGAATTGGTTTACGTGCTGTCATATACTATTTTTCAACAACAATTATTGCTGTCATTCTAGGTAAGTAACACAGCCTTACCTTAATTACCTTATTGTGGTCGCCGTCATCACTGTGATCAACTAACCAGAGCCTTCTTCCCAAGAACCACATCAATAGCAGCTCATTCTGAGTTGGGGTTCTGGAGTTCTTGGAGTTCTGCACTAATTGACATACAAGTATGATTGTGTGGAAGTCTCTATTCTTGAGCGGTATTTGCAGTTGACGTGCGCGTTGTAGAAAGTAGCCATTATGGTTTATCCAGGAAACAATACTGAGCCAAACTGGTAACGGATATCCCACTGTGATTAAAGCTGTAGGCAGGCATAATTAGCACCAGTTACTTTATAATCCCAGTGGAACAGATTAGGAGGGTCTTCTATAGCACATGGACCAGTGTAGATAGATCTGGAGAAAGATGGGTGTGTGTTAAAAAGTTATAGTTAAACAGTTATTTGGAATGGCCTGCCTCATTTCTAGTTAAGGATTAGTTTCTGAAAAGTATAGTTAGAATTATGATAAGGATTAAGGTTTTTGTTTGGTTGTCTTGATTTGGTACCAAAAGTATGCATTGGCTTGCTGAAAGTCGATATATATTTAATGGTCTGTCACTGAAATAGACAGAGAATTAATCCCACTAATAACACCATGGTTACTGGCTGTGGCAACATGTTATTCACTTTAAATATTAATGACAAAAACTGCCTGGAAGTGAATGCTGTTTTATTCCCATTTCAGGGAAGTTATCTTGATGTTCACTGCTGGTTAGATATACTGTACAGTATGTTAATTAACAACCACTATCAGAAGAGGAAACTCACAAATCACTGTATGGAACAATCATGAGGAACTTGCCTGTGCAGCTATCGCAGACTCAATATGTCAAACAATTTTTTCCTGAGTGCTTCATCAAAAATTGAAATCACAGAAGTGTTCCCTTTATTTTTTCTCTCTAAAGATAGTCAGTGGAAATAGTAGGCAAGATCTTTAGCAAATACAGACTGTTTCTAAATGATTTGCTTTGGTAGAACTATGTGGCCCCCAGATATTTCATTTATTGGCTTATCAATTTTTATGTCTTACAAGGAACACATTTCAGGGTTATGATGTGCGTTTTCAAAAAGCAGAAGAATTTTGTTCGGCAATTCTGCTACAGAAGGGGTAAAGCTAATCATTACTTCTTGCAATAATATACAGCAACCTCCAAAAAATAATGAGATAATCCTTTGGAGGACACCAAAATATATTATACAGCAAAGTGTGGAGAAGGTATTGAAATCCACAGTTTGCTGAGGCTACCGAAAAAGCAGACTTTTCAAGGCAGCTCTGCAAAAATTTACAGTTTACAGAAACTTTTGACTGCCTTTGTAGAAGAAAAGCTGTGTTAACACATATACTGTAAGTGATTTATTTCCATGTCCACACAGCATGGCAATGCCTCAAAACACAGTGTATGGCCAAATGTACCTAGAAGAAGACAATTTCCAGGTCTGAAACCAATTGAGCAAGAATGTTACATTCTGAAGAACAAATTAAAGACAGAACACATCAAGAACAGACAAGAACTCGCAGTGGCTGAGAAGGCTTTTGGCAAAGCATCTCAGATGTTACACAGAGTTGATGAGCTCAATGGGATGCAGACTTCACACAGTTATCGCCTCAACTGGGTTTCATGCTCTAACATTTACTTAAAGTTAATGTGTCCTAATTTACGTTCCATTAAAGTTTCTATTTAGAACACACAGTTGTTTTTGTTCTAATATAATCAAATGTATGGATGTAAAATCCCCCAAATCATGTATATGCTGCTTCATAAATCTATTTAATTTATATTTTAATATTTCTAATGAAAGAATCATGCTTACTTCATATAAATTTCATTATCAAAAATATAAATTGCTTAACTGAAATGCAAAAATATGTTTTACATTTTCTGTCCCAATACTTTTGGAGGGCACTAAATACTATGTAGACTAGAGTATATATTGTAGATGGCCATTTCTAACAGTGTTTAATATCAGCTTTACCAAAAGAAGAGATATATCTAGGCATCCTTCCAAATTTAATACTAGGTACGTAAAGTATTCATATGGTTATTTTTATTTATAGAGTTTTCATTCTCCTTAGGGATAGAATATTGTCGAGTTGTATCTACACCTAAGATGTAAAAAATTACACCTTAAAATGTAAACTGCTTGGTGTGTGAGCCTACACTGCACAAGAAAAAGCAGTTACTGAAACAAATTCCTTGATACATATTGCAACCAGTTGTATCAGGGAGCATTTTTGAAGAGGCTTATGAACAATGAACCAGTCAGGTGATTTTAGTGATTAATTCACCTCATTTTTTTCAGGAATTGTTTTGGTGATGACTATCAAACCTGGTGTATCTCAGAGTGCTGAAGACATTGACAGGACTGGCTCAACTCCTGAGGTGACTACAGTGGATGCCATGTTGGATCTTCTAAGGTAGTGAACCTTCTCTTTTAGGACTGGTAAACTGGAAATTGCATCCCTGTTTTTTTGTCTTAAGAAAAAAATAAACATGGAAAAAGTGCAGAGCACAAAATCATGAAGTGATAATGCAGGCCAACTATGCCTGCTGTAAGATATATTTTAATCTGTGTAACTAAAATTGGGTTGCTCTGTGGCAGTGTTGAGGCCTTGGGTTCAATTCTGGACCTGGGGTGCTATCTGCTTGGAGTTTGTACTGTATTTTCTTCCTGTGATCGCTTGCGTTTCCTCCAGGTGCTCTGGTCTTTTTCCACAACCCAAAAACATACTGGTTAGTTAATTGGCTTCTAGGAAAATAGACTCTAATGTGAGTGTGAGCCTCTCGTTTACAAAATAGAGGGTCCAGTTTGGCCCTATTTGGTTTTAATTCTGATTTTTTAAAGTACTTCCTCGTACTCGTTCTCTATTTCCTGCTTCAGTGTGAATTATGAAGAAGTCAGAGTTCTCAAAGGCATTGACTAACTCAACCTGTTAGACTAAGGCATTGATTTGAATTACTTCCCTGAGCAGTCTTCTCTGTTAAAAACCAAAAAGATTCAATTCCTTCAGCCCATCAGTATAGGACGTTCCTCTTAGCTTGATAAAAACAAAAATAATATCCTTTACATTACACAGTACCTTTCATGGCACATAATGATTGTCAACGTGTTGTACAATAAAACCAAATACAAGAGACTAGTATATACAAATCAATCCAGAAAATTAAACAGAGTGAAATAATAATGTACAAAAAAAGAGCTGTAAAGACAGGTTTTGAATGTGTTGACTGACTGAGAGATCATTCCACAGCCTTGAAGAAACAGAACAGAAACCATAGTCTTTCTGAGTTTAGAGTTTTATAACTCTTATATTTTTTCACAGCAAGAAGAAGGCCACAGTTTGAAAAGCACAAGCAACACTTGAGTGTATAGAAGCTTAATAGTTCACTGATGTAGTCAAGCCATTTGAGCCCTCAAACGTGAGCAGCAATATTTTGAGTTTTATTCTGAATTAATCATTAAAGCAGTGGAATGAAGCTTTAGCAAGTGATATATAATAGTGATTTTTTAGACTGGGTTAAAATCAAAGCAGTTGTAATGCTACAGCTTGTAACTTAAGAAGGTTTGGGTACACCAGCATGACTGCATTATGATAATCAAGCCTGTAGTTGTTAATACTATTAGAATTTGCATGATACAGGTGCGGTCCCTGAAAAGACCACTGATTTTGTCCTACTCTTCAACTTGTCTCCAAAGTCTTTGTTTTTGTTTCAAATGGAAAGGTTGTTGTATATACCGATGTCTTTTCTCCCAGTCTGAACAAAACAATTGCCTCTTCGTCTGCCTTTGCAATACGTTTGTCCACTCTTGTCTGTTCTACACGGACACCTTGGCTCCAGAGAGACAGCATACTGTCTTTAGCTCAAGGTCTTTGATACGTAACTCAGTTGCAATGTTTCTAAGAATTGAGTCACCAACAGCCACAGCATCCCTGTTTTGGTGTTACTGGCACTGATTAAGGCGTAAAGACTGCTTTCAGGATTTCACAGTCTGTGATTAGGTTACTCTGAGAGATGTTGCCTTTAATATCTAATTCTTGACCATCTGTTACCAGGTCGTGATGTGGAACAAACCTGTTTGGTGATAGGTTAGGGGGTGTTTTAAAGTTAGGTAAAAAAAGGCTGTTTTTCTTCCCTTGACAATCAGGAGCCAGCTCCTCTTTCTCTTCCTTTTCAGTGAACTGCTTTGGAAACCTTTTAGTTTTAACAAATTAACCATTTTTTTTATCTTTGTCATTGCCTAGGTGATACTGTCTGGGTCTGTGAATCACAGTTTGCCAAGCATTGCTCTAATTGAAGTGGGGCCAAAAGGCTCAGAGACAAGAATCAATGAATTTCATAATCATTCACATCCCACATTCCACTTTATCACAGAGCAATCAACAGAACTGTGATTTGTTTTTGTTATGCAATAGACTAATCAAATACAAGATTTGAGCACATATCTTAGTGCGATGGATGTACCGTAACTTTACAGCTGATACTTTATTCCCAGAAAAAAAAACATAACTTCAAAACATTAGCAGCATAAAAGAGCCTTAAAACAATTTAAAACACTTTGCCAGGTGGCTTTGAGGAAGTGATTGTGAAAAACTGGAAAACTGGATGTGATGAAACTCTCTGTCCAATGGAAGAGGTCTGCTAAAAGTTAACCATAAGAGGATAATGTGCACACATTCTAATATCAGATAGCTTTCTACAGTAGTTCCAGACTGGGAAACTGGGAGGTATTTCCACAGAAGGTGTCTTCTGTCTCTGAAAAGCAAAGGCAATATTGACTCAGTATTTAGAAACTGTTTAACACTGGGCGTTAAACACTTGAGTTGAACTGTTTTATGATTGTTACAGCCTGACATTATGGCAATTAGGAAAATCTTAGAAAAGATTAAGCACTGTTCCATCTGGAACCAAAATATTTTTTACCTTCTTATAGACTGTGTTGATCTAGTTAGATATCTAAATGGAAAATTTCATTATTATCATTACTAGTAGTAACATTGTAAAGTTTAAAATGAAAGGTGTGTTTTAAGATATATATTGAGAGATATTTGGTTCCAATACTCATTTATTGTGCTTTTAATTCTTCTCATTATACTGTATAATCAATTAGCAAAATTATTCTTCTCTTAGTGATATACAACTGGTGGCTATTAAGCAAAAATGTGTTTTTATTCATATTTGTCCATTGTGTCATACTGCTGAGGTGTAAGAAAAATTACATTTGGATGAATGTTTTATTTATTTTAATTCAAAAGTTCTATTTTCTATAAAATTGTAAATAAATACTGTTTAATAGTCCTACATTTTTACATTTGCTATGTTACTTTTTAAATAGGAATATGTTCCCAGAAAACCTAGTCCAGGCCTGCTTTCAACAGGTAAGATGTTTTAAACTATTGGTTTTCTTGTTTATTATTTCTAAGTTATATCACCCAAATTGTGGACGGCACAGTGGTGCAGTAATTAGCATTGCTGCCTTGTAGAACTAGGGCCCTGTGATCAATTCCTGGGGTACTGTCTGTATGTTGTCCCTGTGTTCATATGGATTTCCTGCAGGTGCTGTAGTTTCCTCCCACAGTTTAAAAACATTCTGGTAGATTAGTTAGCTTCTGAGAAAATCTGTCCCTGGTTTGCGTGAGTGTGTGCATGTACCCGTGTTTACGTGCCCTGCGATGGACTGGTCCTGCCTTGTGCCGGTTTCTTGTTGTGATACAGTAGGCTCCTGCTCCCCACAACCACGTATTGGATAAAGTGGCTAGAAAATGGATGAACGAAATTGTAGTTGGATGCCAGTTCAGACACAAGGCACTGACAGTTTATTTTGACCCAGTATACGTTGAAGGTTAAATTACTGTACATACTACGGGCCTCATTCATAAAACAAACTAATGTGATTTAAAAAAAAAACATCCAAGGTAAAGACAATGGAAAACATTGACAAACACACCATGACAAGAAATACCTGAAAGTATAATATAGTGTGTGTATGTACTGTACAACGAAAATTAGCCATGCCCATTTATATCTGTGGCTAAACTTGCTAAATTATGATAATAATAATAATAATAATAATAATAATAATAATAATTATAATAATAATAATAAAAATTGCTTACACTTATATAGCGCTTTTCTGGACACTCCACTCAAAGCGCTTTACAGGTAATGGGGACTCCCCTCCACCACCACCAATGTGGTGACCCAGTTGCAACCCAATGATCTCTCAGGATGAGGAAAGATGGCACTAATGAACATAGTAGGCTTTACTAATTATAAGCTGTGCCTAAACCTGTGTGCTTCATGATCCTTCTTATGAAAAGTTTCCATGCAGCCTGGTCTAACTCCTTGCCAACAGAGAAAAATGCTCTTATGAAGAAACAGTGAAAAATCAAAAGTCCAGGGGCTGAAGTATGGCCATAGCCAGAAAATTATTTTATAGACATAAAATTCTGAAAATTACATTTTAAATATATCTCTTCCAACATGGAACAGGGTAAAAGTCAAAACAGACTAGAATTATATTTTAATCAATACAGGTTTTTAAACCGATTAGAGCTATAGGCACTTGAAAAAGGGAAAATTAAGGAATCTTCTGAACACTTGGTTAGTACAGTAAGTAGCAACTGGGTCAAATTGTACACCTGCCTAAAACAGAGAAAAATAAAATTAATGAGGCAACCAGAAGACTTTGTGGTTGAGTATTGCACTTATTTGTACATATCAATATACAATAATAATAATATATACATAATTGTTTTTCTTGTTTTTGCAATGAAATGCCATGATTATGTTTGGTGATAAAAGAAAATTAATGAACTGGTTGAAATGTGAAACCCCTCACTTCCACACAATGCACTATTCTTGAGTGTTATAAGAAGGTTTATAATAGATCACATACATTTTTAAATGCCTTTTCTGACATTCAGATGCATCTTACTGGACAGTGTTCACATGTTTTGTGTTACCTTTTTTGGAACATTTGGTGAATGAGGCCCTTTTAGTGTACTAACTAACATGAAACGTGGAGATTATGTACAGTATATTTTCGTTTTCTTTCTTATCATTGTACAGTATTCGTGCACTGCAGTGCACCAAATCTCAAGCAACAGGCAGTGATGCTTTGCTACAGATATCTAACCTCTGAGCTTTGTTATTGCAGTATAAAACAAAACGCTCTGAGTTAAAGCCTTCAAATAAACCTGAACAAAACACCACTGCTGCTCCTCCTGTAACAACTGTCATGGCAACCACTTTACAAGAGGTGAGTATCTTTCAAGGCTTTTTAACATCACAGCCTGGAGACTTCAAAAGTACTCAAGTGTTCTTCAGGAAGAGCGCGGATTTAGAAAAACAAAGAGAGGACACAATTTTGTTTTTCCCATTCATATGTATACCTGCTTAATTCACACTGAGCAGTTTTTTAAAGGGGAACTGCAATGCTATTTTCATATTTCAGGGTTCGAAAGATTCTTAATTGATGAGTGCATTTCAAACTACAATAAAAGTAAAACGAACACAGTAACTTGTAAAAACCTTCAATTTACATCACAAAATAGACAAGTTTTCCTGGTGTGTACAGCACCGTGTTCTGCAATTCAGAATGAGGCAACACAACCTCCGGTGACGTGATGCAGCCCTATAACATTGTAAAGAAGCAGGGTTGTGAATACGTCTCTTTTAATTCAATAGACATATTGCTTTCGATTTTGAGACAGTTTTACCGACAAATACTACTTACTCGTTAATTTTGAATGCATGTTGGAACATTTTTGTGGTGAAATCCCTGCTCCACAACCTGTATTTATTCGCTCGTACTGTTCAACACATTACATTAGTCATTACAGAGACTAGTGAGTAGGAAGGACCTCATCTCGCCGTAATATATGGGAACTCGAATATGTGTTTGTGACAATGTGGCGACTTACAGTACTTTCACAAATTTCATGATTTTGTGCTTAATCTGAAATTTGTAATTTATTTCGATGTTGTCAATGTATTTCGTCACCGAGGTTTAATAAGGGCTTTGAAAATTGGGACTGCAGTTTCCCTTTAATTACATACCGATTCATCTGGATCACAAGTACTGGATGTACAGTGGAAAAAAAATAATTTTTTTATCAAAAATTGATAATGAAAAAATTGAAATAATTCTTTTTTTGTGTACAATATCTCCCACAAATCCCCCCCCCCTCCCCTCCTTCACCCAAAACATTGTCAAACTTCTTGTTTTCCATTTCCCTGCTTTTCAGAACATAACCAAGGACTACACAATAGTGGGTCTGTACTCTGATGGGATTAACGTACTGGGTCTCATTGTCTTCTGCCTGGTATTTGGACTTGTCATCGGACAGATGGGAGAGAGAGGACGTATCCTAGTGGAGTTTTTTGATGCACTGAATGAAGCTACAATGAAAATAGTTCAGGTCGTGATGTGGTATGGCCTTTCTTGTCTCAGATATTCAAGATTCCAAATGTCCAGTACTATGAGTGCACACCAATAACCTTGTGTGTATACTGTATATTCCTTCCAGACATTTGTTTCAAACAAAAGCCCCAAAATATTGTTGAATCTAAATTCATAAACTTGCAACTGTGCAGATTTTTTTTCTCACTTAAATGCCAGTTAGTATGATTGACTCAAATAATGGGTGTAAAACAGAGGTGGATACAACTGTCCAATTGTACCTTTCAGCAATCATAGTATTTTGAAAAGCCCCTCACACCAGCCTCTTTGTGTTAAGAATGCTTTAATTTTCAAGGAACAGCGTTTTAACTTGGTTTTATTTTGACTGATTTTGTGTTTGTAGTTATATGCCCATTGGAATAATGTTCTTAATTGCTGCCAAGATCATTGAAGTTGATGACTGGGATATCTTCAGAAAGCTTGGACTATACATGGTGACTGTGCTGAGTGGGTGAGTTACTGCTTATGATTACATGTAAACTAGTAGATGATCAAATTGAACTTGGTGTTCCAGTATTTAGTGAACTGTTTACCATATTCTCTGTCTTTCACATAAACTCCTACACGTCTTGAACCATTTTGAATTTGGTTTTCCTATTTGTGCTGTCCAACAGTAACCACAACTCACAGATCTCTACCTGGTCTCAGGCACTTACCTAATTGTGATTATTATGGAGGATGTTGCTGGCTTTTGTTCAGTGTAAAATAAATTTGTCATAGACAATGTTATGATATTAGAATGCCACATTTCCTGTTTTATCTCTATCCTTGTCTAGTTTACTACAATTTGGTTGTAGAATTTAGCAATGGAAATGAATCCTAACTGATAGAATGGTTCTGTCTCTTTTAAAAGCCACATTAACAATATTGTAAAGATCTTGTCCTTTGTAGCACCGTTTGAGGCATGCCAAAACGTTTGTCCACGCAAACTGAAAATACAAATCACAGAACGATTAAGCAAATCGGTGGTTTACGAAGGGAGCTACTGTAAGTGAATGACATCAAGCATATTAAAGGCATTTGAGTTCCAGGCTACTTACCACATACTTGAAGACACGATCTGTTGAGTACCATGAATACTGTACTGTACAATCTCAGTTTCAGTGGCACCTACACTTTGCATCTGCCTATGCATTACCAGGCAAACACAGTGGGCATTGATGAGCTTATCTGAGACAGGGCAAACATTGAAGGGTGAAGCCAAAGACTTACACAGTCAGATGGGTGAAGCTGATACCCTGGCTTCCTTCACAAAATGGCTGGATGTAATATTTGGATCAATTATCTACTAGCAACCCAAAAAAACAAGATTAGCTAATGGACTCCTCTCATTTGTAGCCTTTCCTTTTTAACACTGTCATCAGTTCAAACCTCCTGGTGGTGGTGAAGGTTTAGTGCTTGTGAAATTCACAACAGATACTGTATTTTGCTTTAACACTATAGTGCCCTTGAAAGCATTTATCGAAACTGGGGCTGCATATGCTTGCCCTCGCCTTAAGGAGTGTGTCACAATTGACCCTCAGACTCACTGATCTGCTAAACTTTAAAGCAATCAGCTATTTACTGTGTCTCCTAACAGCTCTGAATTGGGGAGTGCACTGCTTTTATTGCTTTTTCAACTGGTATGAGGTCAAATGGTCCTTGGAAAAGTGCAATTACTTCCAAAGAAACTCTTGGGCATTTTGAAAAGCATTAAATACTGTAGGAAAAAAAGGAAGAGCCAATAAACACAAAATAATTTAAAAACATTATCATAGCTTTTTACAGGAGAGGATGTATGCTTGCATGTGAAGCTCTCCGGTGATCTGGTGAACTCCAGCCAATCAAATTTAAAGAGCACAACAGGCCTGGCTGGCCATTACTTTTACTAAAAAGCACCCACAAAAAAAGTTTGCCTGGAATGCTTTTAATCTGCCTCACTTGTTCTCTTTAATACCCCCACCTCCAAATTTTGGACTGTTTTTCTGGCTTGCATTTGTTAGAAATTACCTGGGCAAACCTTTAGGATATGCATTTTCATTATGGCTTTCACACAAACACTGATGTAGGGTTAGCTTGCTGCATTGATTCTATTGTTATCTTCATCTGTTGACAGGACAGCGGATGAAACATGCCACTTCAGAACTGTGATGGGGCTCTCTTTAACTTTTAGGTCATAAAGTGTGGCCACGTTTTCAGGAAGCATTTAAACATTCTTAATGTATCAAGTGTCTTAGTGGAAGAAGATATGGATTTTGATATGGATATGGAAGATATGGATTCTATCACTCTGAAGTTCAGTTTTGGATGGTTTTTAATAATGTCCAATTTCCTTGCACGTTACTAGTTTATTCCCAGTACTCTCCAACAGTTCGATAATGTATCCCACACCCAACTATGCTGGGTTATAATAGGTTACTGTAGTCCACTGGTAAACCTCCAACCAGCTTCCACTAAAGCCCTAGGGCTTACAAAGGCCTTTTCTAACAAAACTGGACTTTTAATCTTTCTTTAACTAGTGAAGACCTGTTTCCAATACAGACTTATCAGGGTGGATTTTGTGAAGTTAAGGAGTTTCGTTGACTATAACGTGGATGACATTTCTGTTTTGTCCTCTTCAGACTTGCCATTCATGCTATTGTGTGCCTCCCACTGCTGTATTTCATTATCGTGAGGAAAAATCCATTCACATTCGCGCTGGGGATGGCCCAGGCTCTGGTGACTGCGCTTATGATCTCCTCCAGGTAATGCCGGGAAAACTTTATAACTCAAATTCATAACTCTGTAGTGATAACTGAAATGAAGAATAAACCAACTGTTATTAAATGATAAACTTGACTAACTTTCCATCCTTGTGCAAGCTTATGAAATCTATGAAGCTTCTGAGTTGGGTCTTCGTTTGGGTGAACTTCTGCTTGAATAATAAAGAACAGTTTGTGAATCAAATAATACACACAAGTGATGAGGAAAACATCTCTGCTGTTATCTGAATGAGTTGAAAGGATTCATTAAAGAGTGTCCCAGGCAAATGTAGTCAAACAAGAGAAAACATTCTATACAAACATTGATTAGAAGATTGATAGCTGCACAGTTAGCTATTTTGTGCACCTTGCCATCCCTTTAAATGTCACTTTTCCCTACTAAGATGTTTAGGCTTTCATTGTAATGAATTGCAAACCTCAAACCTGCCTCACAGCTGCAGGACTCTGGGTTCAATTCTAGGCTCAGCTGTCTATCTGTGTGGAGTTTGATTTTCTGCCCATGTGGACATGGCTTCTCACCAAGGTGGTCTGGTTTCATCCTGCACCATAGACATGAGCTGACGAGATTTGATTGACTCAATCCTTGAGGATTTACACCTCTCTGACACTGGGTGGATGGTCTCCTCAAACTCTTCAGAATTCACTGTTAATGAATACTACTCTCCAAAGCTGGAAAACATGAATTTTGTGCTGGCTCAAATTACAGTATGTGATGTTTCATCCCCAGCTCTGCAACACTACCCGTGACCTTTCGATGCGCAGAAGAAAACAATGGGATCGACAAGAGGATCACACGATTTGTGTTGCCAGTCGGTGCCACCATCAACATGGATGGGACTGCTCTCTACGAAGCTGTGGCCGCCATATTTATTGCTCAGCTGAACAATTACGCACTGGATGTTGGTCAGATTGTTACCATCAGGTAAGGGACCAAAGTCTTTGAGCAGCTGGTATTGGGCACTGGAATGGTTTGTGTAGAATCTCTGCACAAAAGTCTCCAGACGGAGCTCAGGAGTTGTGGGGTCCTCTTCAATACGATGTGCACGGATAAACCCTGCATGATTGGGATGCGGCTTTTCTGGATTAAGGGGTGCATTCAAGAAACCTGTTGACTTGCCAGAAAGTTTTGTTTTTATTTGTTGAAGGTATTCCAAGACGTAGCTCAATCTGCTGACACAATGGAGATTTAGCTTGGCTCAGTGTTTTAATTCACATGAAACATGGAAGGGATTGCTGCAAACTGTTTACAAAATGCTGTTATACACAATCTGAGCTTGTTAAGAGGTATGGCCTTTCAAAACCTACGTCTAAATAGACAGGGAACAGCATGCAACAGCAGCTGTCTTCAGACTATTTTAGGAATAAGGTGTTAAATATTTCAGAGAGTGTCTTCCAGCGTTGAGTTAGTAACAATTACCGTGTGGAAGGAGGTCCATAGATTCTTTAAGGGAAATGATACGATCTTAGTGAGGGTGAATAAGCTAAGTTAATTAACCATCAGAAATTAGGTCATTGGAGTTGTTTCTGGGATTTGTATCATCTCTGATAAATGGAATTATTTTTTTTACTGGATACTATAATTAGTCTAGAGTCACTCCACTTCTTAGCTCTCTCAACTGTGAGATGATTTGCCTCGAAATATACACTATGTTTTATCATATGACGATCCTCTCATTTTTGTTTTGGTTACAGTATAACTGCTACAGCAGCCAGCATTGGGGCAGCTGGAGTTCCGCAGGCAGGCCTGGTTACCATGGTGATCGTCCTGACTGCAGTGGGATTGCCGGCGAATGATGTCACACTTATTATAGCTGTAGACTGGCTGCTGTAAGTTCTTTTTTTTTGTCCTGCCATTGCAATTTTTATGATACATCTATGCACCATAAAAATTTATGATGCCCTTGTGAGCAAAAGAAAAAGCAGCCCAAGAACTCCTCAAACAAGAAAGCCTCTCAACACGTACTGGATTACACTGTTTTGAGAAGAATGACTGGAGCTCTGAATTTACACTTAGCCTGGCAAAACGTCCATCCATAACAAGATGAATTATACTGAGAGAATTAAAAAATGTAACCAGTGCTTGTGATCCTGATGTTGTCAGCCTGGGCCCCTGTGTGAGTTGTTCTTGTAAAGGTGTACTTTAGTTATGTAATCGGAGAAAAAAAGCACTCCTCTTACATGTGTCTTGTTATTTAGGGCAGAAACTAAGGGGCCGCTCAGTTCCTTGTATGAAATAAAACTCCAGCAGGACCAGCAGTTTCTGGTACTTTGATGTCAGAGTGCATTATATGTGTCAAACCCCTCAGAGGTTGAATAGGGGTCTGCTTATGAAGGTCTGAAGTGAGATTAGACAGGGTGGTCTGTCCAGCCCTTTCAAACAGCAGGCTGTGAAGTGATTAAGTATTTTTCACTGAAGTCACTGAGCTGTTCCAGATATGCATGAGTCTCACGATAAATAGCAAAACACCAAATTAAATGGAATAAACTGTTTTTTCCCCCACTATGCAACCATAAAACTGAAGAGTGTTGATTGGCTAAACCATTTCAAAAATATAATTCATTTTTTTACTATTTCAAGATCCTAAATTTAAATGGAACATTTTTTTGGTTACGCAACTTTTAGGGAATACATTTAAAGTCAAATCGACAGCTGCTTTGATAAAATTAAAACAACAAAAGGCATCGATCCACAATAAAAAACCTGGGGCCATTTGTGAGGAATTTGAGCTGCCTCAAAATATCTCCTGTTGCAGATTCTGCATTTGGCACACAGAGAATAAATTGACAGTGATCCTTTTTGCTCTGTTTCATTCGACCAGAGATCGCTTCCGCACTATGATCAATGTGCTCGGGGATGCCTTTGGAGCTGGCATAGTTCAGAAACTCTCCAAGAAGGAGCTGGAAAGGATGGACCTGACATCAGACGTGGATATGGTTAACCCCTTTGCCTTGGAAACCACAATGGATGAAGAAGAGTGCGAGAAAAAGTCCTATGTTAATGGCGGCTTCACCATTGATAAAAGTGACTCCATTTCCTACACACAAACATCTCAGTTTTAGTGAAAGGCAGGTGGGAAAGGTCAGTATAACACTACAGAACCGCTAATATGCTGCTATACATTTGTACTGTATAGTACTGTATGAATGTAAAGAAAAAAATTCCAGATTTCAGCAATAGGTGTTACTGTTATTGTCTGGCATTTTCTTAAAGGCTGTCCTTAACATTCAATGCACTGTACATTAGTGCCAAAAAGCAATGGGAATTCAGGTTATAATACTACTAGATCTTGTAGGCTCTTGTTTTGTAAACGTGACTGCATTAAGATTTAATTTTCTTTCTGGCAAAGTAGTTAAATTCTAATGGAATTTACACGACACTGTAATTGCGACAAAGTCTCAGCCAGACATGACAAGAAAGACTTAACACATAATTCATTGTGCCTTGCAGCCATCAGATGTTTCCATAACAGCCAGCATTACCAGCTCCTTGCCACGTGATTGTGGGATAAATTTGCAATCTGTATGTTGTGTGCTAAAAAGGTCATATGAACCAGACCGCTGAACTGTGTTTTGTACATTTCCTGTGACATACTGCATGGACAAATGAGTTCAAGATAACTAAGTAGTTACTTACTAAGTGACTAAGTGGATATTTTAAGATTGACAGCTATTGTTTGACCTAAGCATCTAAAATGTTTGTGTGGGCTTTCAAGCACTTTTTCACTTATATTTACAAGTTGTGCCAAATAGTATGTATTTCAAAAGGGGATTTTTATGGAGCACACAGCATGAAGCCATACAAAAGGGAAAATGTCAAGTTTCAATCTGTTTTCACTGAGTGGTGAGTATGGTCACAAAATGTAATTTAGGAATAGACGTAGCCCAGAAATAATTATTTTTGGCACTAAATTATGGTTTTATCTGTGTAAGAACAGCTCTCTGACAAATAGTGTAAGGATAATACAGTATGTTACAGTGGGAAGAAAGGAATGAAAAAGCAATATGTGATCTTATTCTGGCATTGTAAAGGGGAACTTGTCAGTTTATTGTCTTTTTAAGTGATGGATGGAATACATAGGTAATGAATAAGGGAAATATTTAAAAGTTCTCTTCTCAGTCACTCCTGTCCAAAGTCTCTATAACTTTCATTCATGGGAAGAGGTTTCCACAATGTGTTTTACAAGAAACAAAAATCATTTTTAAGAAATTGCATATAAAAAGGATGCGCGTCTTAAGACATAAACACAGCTATTTATCATGCCACCTAAAACACAGTCATTTAAAACATACTGCATCCAGATGTACAGTATCAGATCTTGTTACTTGCAGCAAAAAACATGATCACTTTTATAATAAAATCAGATATTTCAGCATCATGTGTTTTATACCTCCAGTAAATATTCATGCACAGAAAAAGCCTGATCTGTGTTAGCCCTTAACTCTCTGAACCTTAAATATACTGTCAATGGTAGTACCCCTTATTGAGCATGTCAATGAACAGCAAGTTCATAATTTACAGAAAGTGCACATTTACTGGTCAAATCTTTCATTACTTAAAGTATCAGAAATCAATGTGGAGGATGTGGAATACATAGGCAATTGCTGATTTGAATCATCCCTTGCTTCTAGAGCTCCTCTGATTTAATGCTCTGAGTGATTAGAATCTTCTTCAGTTTAGACCGTATATCTCTTATCAATGTGATTTGCCCCAGTATTAATGCTCAACACTTTTAAAATCACTCGTTTACCTGGACCTGGCCTCCTGCTGAACAGGCTCGCTTATCTTTACTGGTGGTGCAGCTAATGATGGAAACGGCAGAAAGAATTCTGGAGTTTACAGAAATATTCTCTCTGCTTATGTAGAATATAAAGCCTCCATACTTAGAGATTGGTGATCCACCATGCAGCATGGGAAGGACAGAGACTAAAATATGGCTAATGCAACAAACAAGCTCATCAAGAGAAAAATAAAAGATTTAGACTGGCAAATCTCAGTCTCCGGGTTTAAATCTAATCGAGAAATGCTTTTTACATGAAGACAAATTGAAGTGCAGACACGTCAAGAACAGGCAAAAACTAGTGGCTTCAGCAAAGCATCTCAAGGTTTGGTGAGCTTAATGGGTGAATCTCCATTCAATTAATAGGCCAAAGGGATATGCAATGAAATACTGTATACTCTGAACTTTAAAGTCAACATGCCCCAGAATTGTGGTCACTTGAAATCACTGGGTTGAATAAAAATAATGGTTTTGTACTATTATGATCAATGGTATACATGAAATTACCCCAAAATAAAATGTATATAATGTACAATAATCTCATGGTGTTATTTGTCACTCTAAATTGCTTAAATTTAGAATGAAAAATAACAGTTTTCATTCTTTTGGTGTGCACTGCACAAATACTACTGATAACAATGGCAATCTTCATCGCCATTGGCAGCTATTATACAGTACATCAACTTTGTGGGCATACAAATAATAATATTGACAATTTTGTTTCAGAAAACATATAAGAGTAGTGCATTTAGCTTGTCTGTCAAACCGTTGCAGTGGCTAAAGAAACCGGTGTTATCTTTTAAATTTTTAATTTGGAATGGCAACATTAAGAAAATTGACAAGCGCAATAAACTCCTTCACTGATTTTGTTTTAAAGAAAGCTCTACAGTGCCATTTGCCTTTTTATTTTTACTTGGTCATTTACTGTGTACTGGTAGGTGACAGATGAGGCACTGGTAAGGGTTTATCGTGAACACAGCCCTGCTCATGGGAATCCTGCAGCTTGATGTTAACTAGTTCAGCCAAAGTGAAAAGATAAACTCAAGCGAACAGCATTGAAACCACAACAGACTTCAATAACACAGAAAGAGCAACAGTTTTCTAAAAACACGTTTGCACAAGTATTCTGAAACTGTGCTGAAAGTATTTTCAGACCGAAATGTATGAGAAGTGGTGAAGAAAGAGTGAATCAAACTTGTACAACTTGTTAATTGTGCCAAATTAATACTAAGGCTTTTTTTTCTATCTTGCTACGCTCTGTATATTTCAAAAGAAACACTTAATGTATAAAATTAATAAATGGTAATGAATATCACAAAAGTATGAAGTGGTATGTGAATGAGTATGTGTTTCAGAAAACAAACCATATTGGATGTAAAAAACTGGTAATAAATAAAACCAAAACTATAAACAAAGAACTAATATTTAAGGATGTTTTTGTCTTGGTGTGTTTATGTATACAAAAACTATTCATTATTCATTCAGTATTATTAAAGGATATGAATTGTAAAGTAAACATGTCAGTTCAGGGAAATGCTGCTCTAAGAAACAGGTATAAAGTTAATTTCGCTTCATTTTTGTTAGGAATGGGCTACAGCTAGTATAAAACTTTAAAATCAATTTTTGCTTCATGCCAGTAAGCTTGCTTGCACAGATTCCATCAGTAGGTCAGTCATTCCAAGATCCCCAATCTGGTTGTGGTGTTAAATGTTTTTTAGACGTCTAGTCCTCTGTTTGTACATTTTGGTTTGCAAAAATGTAAGAAATATAATTACTTTCCACATTAAAAGTTAAAGCAGCTCTCAAGTACAGATAACAAGTACAGTTATAAGCTTCTCTAAACAATGGAAATAATGTAAACGTAACAGAACACATTTTAAAATTAAAGTTTTTATGTGGCTGTTCCACATTTTGACTATTAATCAGTTTTGGGATTTTGTGCCACTGTTCTTCTTCATGTTGTTAGTTGCTGTTAATTTTAATCTGTGTCATCAGTTCCCTTGAATATAGTACAGATTTGTTGAACAAAGAAATCAAAGATCAATTGGAAATTTGCATGGGTTTCATATTTTACACCTAATATATTTCTTATTTCATCAAAAAGAAACTCCAGCCATACTGTATACCAGCAAAAAGAAACTCCAGGCATGTACCAGCTGGCTGCCTAGCAAGGTGTAAGTGCTATATCATGACATGCAATTTATGTAACCAGGAAATGTCCATTTTTGCCTTTAATACAGTACACTATTTTCATTTGGGTGACAGCTTCACTGAATGCAGCAAGTCTATACAGAGAAATTAAGATGGAGCAAATAAAAACAGAATAAAGAAAAGAACAGACTACTTGCTAGCCAATTTACTTGTCATGCTTTTCAACTATTAAAATTCAATGGGATATTCTGCAGTTTAGAAAGATGCAACTGGGATTCATGCAAAGATCGACAAGAGAGCTGCATTTCAGAGTAATCAGGATAATTTTATTTTATTGAAGTTCTTCCTTGTCTCTTTTAAAGTGTAAATCATGACATTTTACAGAAAAGAGAACCGAGCAGATTGCATCAAAGAAGCAATTTTCCAGAAGGATGAATTTGTTATGCCTTAGACACCCATAACATAATTTTCATTTAATGACTCACAAAAGACAAACCTTAAAAAAGGCTTCAAGGTCAGACTGCCTGATCTTGGCCAGAAAGTTGCAATGGCTCAATAGCTTTGATTAGGATTAATGATTTTTAAACAACAGTTTCAGCTAGATTTGCTTGGGTTAGCACTGTCAGAATTAATAGCCAGGGAAACCAAGCTGTTACCCAGAAGACCTGAGAACAGCTTATCTTTTATCAACGTACTGTACACTCTGTTTTAATTACTCCAACTGCCTTCTGTAAGTATGATATGTTAAAGTAAAGCCTCACAAGCTCTCAAAAAAAACCCCAAAACAAAATAGCAAAATATAGATTTGAACAAGACAATGAAATACAAACCACATTAAAATTAGTGAATGAGATTTAGATTCCTTTTCATGCATGTGATAAAAAAAAATCTTCTGTAATCTTCTGCAGTATATCAAAAAGTCTTGATAAACTGCTTATAGACATTTAGAGGCATAATTTAATAGTTTTTGTATTCACATGATGTATAAGCACATGTTTTTGCAAACACAAACACTGTTAATTTCTATCATATGGGAATGACCAGATATATATGGATGGAAATAGAAATAGTAAACAGTATATTTTATTGAATATATGTTTCCTGAATGATTTCCTAAGTAGAACAGTTATTTGTTCCTGCATTCGCCCAAAGGACATCTTCTTTTTTCCCTACTGCACCTGAACTCTGAATTACGTGACTAATTGGCTTTATTTAGACCATAGCAATAGTTTACAACTCTTAAACTGCAGGAGATGGCTCATTAAAGAATTCAATGAAATTACAGTCAAATAAATCATGCAAGACAAAAACTAGAAGAAATAAAGATTCCTCTTGTTAGGATTAGAGGTGGGAATGACTTCCCCTTGCTGGTACTCTGGAAAGAAAAGGAAATTGTTAATAATGCTGTTAAGTTTGTGTTTGGAAATAGACACGTTGGCCAATATGTAAAAGATATGAGAAAATCAATTGAAAGGTCTTACTGCTACCCTTAACCCACGTCTGTCTATCCTTACAGTACATTATGGGTGCTTGTGAAAGAAATTTAATTTCAGCACCAACTGCACAAGTAAAATGTTGGTGATATTAGTAATACAAAATAGCATTCAGCAAACCATATGCTGTTTTTCATTTAAAACCCTAAGACCTTTAATGCTAGTCAAAATTTACTAGAGGAGGCTCATAAAAGCCTTGTTGAAAGCATCTCTTGGGATTTAAAATGACAGTGTGGTATGGACATCTGGGGAAGAAAGGCATTACCAAACTGTCAAGGCTTGTGAGAAAGGCAGAAAAAATAACTGGGAAACAACAGACTCAGCCTGGTAATTTATAGCACAATTCAGTTCTCAGAATGGGGAGGAGAATCACAACTGATCCCACTTATCCACTATCCTCAGTTTATAATGCTCCCATTGTGGAGAAAGCTTAGAGTGCCAATATCAAGTAAAACAATTTATAAGAAGTACTGTCTCTGCTGTACAATAAACTTGCTTAATGAATTTATTAAAAACTATTCACCCACACCTACACTTACATCTAGTATATGCTGCTATTATGATTTATCTACCTGTATGTGAGTTTATGGGATGTTATGTGACATTTCTGTTGATTGGCGGGCACATGGCACAGGTAAAACGGCAAAATGGGGTCAAATTTATTTCTCGAGGAAACAAAAAAAGAAACACTTTTCCTGCATTTCAAATTCACATGAAAAAAAAAATGCATCGCAAAATGTCTAGGTGTTGTTCAAACCCTAACCCTAACCCTAGCTCGGGAACTTATGAAACATTTATCAAATCTGTTGCCTTAAAGAACTGCGTACGAAAAGCAACCCAGATGACTCCAGATTAATCCGAAACGTTTCGGATTGCAGTTTCCCAGTATTTTGAATGTATCTGCTGTGAATCCCTTTTACTTTTCCAGTATTTTCCTTTTTAATCCTGCAGCGGAAATTGTGTATGCTGCAAATTAAACGTTATGGGCTGTTTACAGATCAGGATCAGATTTACCACTAACATTTGGCCAAACCTACCATTTTACTTCTGTTAAATGCAAATAAACAATGGTATTTAGCATGTAGAAATACTGTTTTCACACCTTTGAGTTTAGACCACTTTTGATTGGCAGGCCCATGGCTGAGGTAAAACTTCAAAATTGAGTCAAATTTATTTTTCGAGGAAACAATAAAAGGAACACTTTTCCTGTATTTCAAATGCACCCTTAAACAGAAAATGCATCACAAAATGTCTAGGTCTTGTTCAAAACCTAACCCTAACCCTAGCTCGGGAACTTCTGAAAATTTATCAAAACTGTTGCCTTAAAGAACTGTGTCAAAAAAGCTACCCAGATGACTCAAAATTAATCAGAAAAACTTAGGTTTGCAGTTTCCCAGTATTTTAAAAGTATCTGCTGTGAATCACCTTCAAATTTGTAAAATTTCTTTTCTGGCATCCCGCTGCAGTAATGGCGTATCCTGCAAATGAAACGTTTTGAGTTGTGTAGAGATCAGGATAAGAATTAAAACTAACATTTGGCAAAACCTACCATTTTACTTCTGTTAAATGCATATAAACAATGGTATTAAGCATGTAGAAATACTGTTTTCACACCTTTGAGTTTAGACCACTTTTGATTGGCAGGCACATGGCTGAGGTAAAACTTCAAAAT